GGCGACGTCACGGTCCTTGATTTTATTCTATTCATAAAGGGCTTTTGAACTGCTCTTAGTCTGACCCGTCACCCAGGACCTGTTTGCCTTGGGAGACCCTACCAGGGACATATAGCCCCCGACAACATGGCTCCTAGGATCACTCGGGTACTCAAACCGCTCCACCACAATAAGGTGGCGGTTCAAGGAGGGGTTAACAGTCTATCTGCTTTTCAAGAGGTGCAGCTGATGCTTTGAATGTTTTGCATGATTCTTAAAGATGTGTTGATAAACACGCTTTTACTGAATGATATAGACATGCCCACTTTGAAAAGCTTGCACACTAAGCTCACACAGAATTCAGGTATTTTTATGACGTTTAATTAAATCTTGAAATGAAATTTACTCTAAATTGTTAAGCGGTGTTTTTAAAAAAAATCTTTTCACTTAGTCCTGTCCAGCAAATACTCAAAGAAATTACAAAACAGTCTTCATTTTTAGGAAATTATGAGGTAACTTTACAGTAAAGTGTTAATGTTGTTCACATGCTTTAACAATGTGCAAATATTAAATATACGATTATCATTTGTTTGTCCTCTCCAGCTATGCTCTGATGTTCTCCTGCTGGTTGCTGAGCCCGAAGGATCGCCCATCATTTGAGTCCCTGCGCTGTGAACTGGAAAAAGCCCTTGAGGATCTGCCGGACCTCCAGGACCCAGATGAGATCCTGTATGTCAACATGGACGAGTCCTCCATGGAGCTTGGGGCCGTTGGTGGTCGTGATCCCATTGGGGGGCCACCCCCTCTCTGCCTGAAGGCCCTGGACTCTGTGACCACAGTGGAGGTCCACCAACCCAACCGTTATGTCCTCTGTCCCCAACACGAGACCAACCGAGCCCTCTCAGACTCCCTGGAGAGCCTGGAGATGCCGGTGTCGTCCTCCACAGCCACGCTGCCTCTACAGCCATCCTGCCATTCCACTCCCAACCCCACTCCAGCTCCCACGCCCACTGTTGAGCTGCTGGAGGACAGGGAGGGGAGCAGGAGAATGCACTGGCAGTGATAGCTTCACTTAAAAATGGCAAGACTGGTCACTACCAAAATGTGCCATCCTTTCACCCCAGTCCAAGAACCATAGCCAGCCTCTTGCTACTGACTTGTAAGAAACCACAAGTGCCCATACATACATATTTTGCACAAACACACTCATACAGATACGACCCAAGGCATTCCACGGAAGTGAAGGATTGGGATCATTTCTTTTTCAACCCTTCTCCTCTCTTCTAAAATAAGCACATTTCCAAGTGAGTGTAAAAGGTGTAGCAGGACAAACACTATTATCCAACAACAGTGGGTGAACAAATGTAGAGCACATGTTGTTGCCCACATACACTGCAGCACAATCAATCAGACAAGTTAATTCCCAGTCATGATAGCAATAAAATACCATATCTGTACAACTACCTTTACAGAGCAGACTATTGTCCTCCATGTTATTAAGCTACAACATCAAATGTCTTTGTAAAACCAGCTCAAACACTGCCAGGCTGAATCTACAGCTGAACACACTCAGGAGCTTGTACTTTCCAGTGAGTAAGTCACAACTAGCTGAGAAAATGGATGAAGAACCCACCTAACTCCTGCTGTGTAACTCGAGGATGAATTGGAATGAAAAGAAGCAGCAGAGTTTGTTTTATTGATGAAATCTTTTGATGAAGACAACTGCCCGCTTTTAGTATATATTGACATAAAATTATGGAAGTATGTAAAAAAAACAAACCCACAACAACTGAAAAAATAAGTGATAATCATATTTAGCGGAGACAGTGAAATGCCACTGCAGGCTTCTGAGACTTTAATGTGAAGCTGTTATGAATGAAGAAGGTCTCAAGCATCTAAAAACTTACAGCAGTTCTTACTGCAGCCTAATGTAGCGCTCTAACAAGCTGTATCTTCCTGAGGTTTTACTGCTACAGTAGTTGTATTTTAAGCCCAGTGAGTAATTTGCAGTTCACACAAGGTGACTTTCACACAGGAGAGACAACTGTGCAAGTCCTGATTCAGCCAGTCTGCATATCTTTATCATATCTCAGGAACCTGGGACTTTGCTCTACAGTAACAAAAGTACAAAGGCGGCTGTGGCTCAAGAGCTAGAGTGAGTCGTCTCCTAAACAAAGGGTTTGATTCCCGGCTCCTCTAGTCCACATGTAGAAGTGTCTTTGGGCAAGACACTGAACCCTAAGTTGCTCCTGGCGGTTGTGAATGCTTGTGTGCACAAACGGGTGAATGGGAAATGGTGTAAAACAGAACTGCGCTACATAAATAAGCATAAGACCATTAAATGGTCAAAACAAGAGGGTACATGTGATCAGAGGAAGGTGGGTAGATTAAGGATAGGTACGGGCATAATGGAGTTACCTAAAGCAAATGGCAGGATAAATTCCTCACCTTTGCTTTTGGCTCAAGCACAGTGTTACTACACATTTTGTATGCTCATCTTTGTTTTGTTTTTTACAACTTTGCACTAATGTTTTTATATCAGTGTATGTAATTTGTATATCTTTATGCTTCTTTCATCTCACTTTCTGTACATTCTCAGTTGTAGACACATCTGTTCACTTGTAACAACTTGCATAAAGCCAGAGAACAAGGCCAGTGAAAACACTGCAGAAAACGTTGAGCTCAATTGAAAGAGCGTTTTCTGTAGATGAGCAAAGACTGCGAGATTGGGAAACATGACTGGTGTCATCATCTGACTTCATAATTTTTTTCTTTTTGTGGGGAATATTTTTGTTTCTCGAGGTTTAGCACTGTAAATAGAAGCCTAACACCAGCAGAGTCATGGAGGAGGAGACAGAAAGCAGCAGATGAAAACCAAACACAAGTGAGCATTGTCTAAACCTCTGCTGTGAGGAAGGTCGCCAGCTGCAACGTCACATCATGCATGCACTTATTTTTATATATGTATATTTGCTAAGGTTCACTATTTTGCCATTAGAATGAACTTGACCATATCACCACAGACATTTTGGGAGAACATTAGTTTAAATGAGGATTTTCTCAGTTGTATACATCAGCGGTACATATGAGACAGTATACAGTGGTGTGTTACACCTGTAACATTACTGAATATCTGGTCAAAATGAAAAGTACATTACTTGCAAACACCTTTGGTACTGTATACTCCGCTGGTCACAGTTTCTGATCCATGGACAGTGGTGGTGAGACTGAGGTACTGGATGTGAATATTTCACCTCTTTTAATGCAGATGCACCAGATGTTTAAAACGGTTTGGTTGCACAGCAAACCATAATCAAGTGCCTTCCAAGAGACAGTATTTTGCATTATAGTAGGTTTTGTATGGTTTTGATTCTCGTGATGTGTTGAATTGGTAGAGGACTGTGCTATAATAATACCTTTATATTGTCACTGCCATGGTTTTTAAACAAACTTTTATACAGTAGCTACAGTATTTTGTATAAGAAATAAATGTGTTTATTCATGAACGAGCACTCCTGAGCTCTAATGTGGTTCATATTGATCTCATTCTCATCAAAAGTGTTAGTGACATGTTTCCTTGAGTTAACCAGGTGTGACCAACGTGTGAAGTCTCATTCTGTCCTACTGAGATTTATGATCATACAGCAGCAAGCTTAAGAATATGAGGTGAACAACCCAGTGGCTGTAAAACACATGGAACAGAATTTATTGATCAGTGCAAAGGTGAGTGCACTCTCAGAAGTGGATATAGGAGATCTGCACATCGCCCTCGATCTCCAGCATGTCCACCTCACTGAAGGATTGTAGGCGGTGGACGAAGTCAAACAGGTGCTGCCCGTTCACAAACACCTTAAACCTTTGGTTTCCGCAACGAATTGATATCTGAGGAAAAGAAACGGAAAAATTAAAACACTGCAGACCCAGAGTCAGTCAAAATCTAAATCACATAGAAATTCATCATAGGGAGAATTGACGACCAAATGACAGGCACCACTTACATCAAAGTACTGTCCCTCCATGAAGGGGTTCATGCCGAGCTCTCTTTCCTCTTGGCCCCATCGCCCTCCAATCATGCTGTTTCTCACCACAATCCCCTCCCTCACTCTGGGGTTCAGGTGGAAGGCAATGTCCCGGGATCTGCTCACCATAAAGTTGATGCCAATTCTGCAACCCAGAGAACCAGGAGTACATTATGTGTCTGTTAGCACTCACATACTTTATTGTAGTGATTTACACATGCACGATCACAAACACACACCTCTGTGCTCCAAAGGGCACCATGCCTCTGATGACGATGGTCCTCTTAGGAAACATCCCTCCTGGGATCATGTTGGAGTAGGGCACAGGCTTCAAAACAAAACAGCATGTAAATACAGCCTTGTCTACACACCACATGTGAGCTAACAGCTACAGTATTGTTCAAAATAATAGCAGTACAATGTGACTAACCAGAATAATCCAGGTTTTTAGTATATTTTTTATTGCTACATGGCAAACAAGTTACCAGTAGGTGCAGTAGATTCTCAGAAAGCAAACAAGACCCAGCATTCATGATATGCACGCTCTTAAGGCTGTGAAATTGGGCAATTAGTTGAAAGGGGTGTGTTCAAAAAAATAGCAGTGTCTGCCGTTGACTGTACAAACACAAAACTATGTTGTACAAACGTTTTTGTTTCTAGGATTTAGCAATCCTGTGAATCACTAAACTAATATTTAGTTGTATGACCACAGTTTTTTATAACTGCTTCACATCTGTGTGGCATGGAGTCAACCAACTTGTGGCACCTTTCAGCTGTTATTCCACTCCATGATTCTTTAACAACATTCCACAATTCATTTACATTTCTTGGTTTTGCTTCAGAAACAGCATTTTTGATATCACCCCACAAGTTCTCGATTGGATTAAGGTCCGGGGATTGGGCTGGCCACTCCATAACATTAATTTTGTTGGTTTGGAACCAAGACTTTGCTCGTTTACTAGTGTGTTTGGGGTCATTGTCTTGTTGAAACAACCATTTCAAGGGCATGTCCTCTTCAGCATAAGGCAACATGACCTCTTCAAGTATTTTGACATATGCAAACTGATCCATGATCCCTGGTATGCGATAAATAGGCCCAACACCATAGTAGGAGAAACATGCCCATATCATGATGCTTGCACCACCATGCTTCACTGTCTTCACTGTGTACTGTGGCTTGAATTCAGAGTTTGGGGGTCGTCTCACAAACTGTCTGTGGCCCTTGGACCCAAAAAGAACAATTTTACTCTCATCAGTCCACAAAATGTTCCTCCATTTCTCTTTAGGCCAGTTGATGTGTTCTTTGGCAAATTGTAACCTCTTCTGCACGTGCCTTTTTTTTAACAGAGGGACTTCGTGGGGGATTCTTGAAAATAGATTAGCTTCACACAGACGTCTTCTAACTGTCACAGTACTTACAGGTAACTCCAGACTGTCTTTGATCATCCTGGAGCTGATCATTGGCTGGGCCTTTGCCATTCTGGTTATTCTTCGATCCATTTTGATGGTTGTCTTCCGTTTTCTTCCACGTCTCTCTGGTTTTGCTCTCCATTTTAAGGCATTGGAGATCATTTTAGCTGAACAGCCTATCATTTTTTGCACCTCTTTATAGGTTTTCCCCTCTCCAATCAACTTTTTAATCAAAGTACGCTGTTCTTCTGAACAATGTCTTGAACGACCCATTTTCCTCAGGCTTTCAAATGCATGTTCAACAAGTGCTGGCTTCATCCTTAAATAGGGGCCACCTGATTCACACCTGTTATTTCACAAAATTGATGACCTCACTGATTGAATGCAACACTGCTATTTTTTTGAACACACCCCTTTCAACTAATTGCCCAATTGCACAGCCTTAAGAGTGTGCATATCATGAATGCTGGGTCTTGTTTGCTTTCTGAGAATCTACTGCCCCTACTGGTAACTTGTTTGCCATGTAGCAATAAAAAATATACTAAAAACCTGGATTATTCTGGTTAGTCACATTGTACTGCTATTATTTTGAACAATACTGTACACCTCCATCTCTCATCAACCCTCATCTTGCACATCTTAGCTGTCTCTGGATTTAATGCAGGGCTGTTTTTTAGAATATATTACATGGTGTGAGGTATTTTATTATTTGATAACATGTACATTAATGATACAGTAACATAATTATGAATAATCTCACTAAAGAATGTGGAGCTGTAGGCTTTGACTGTGGCCACTGAACACAGTTGTCATGATACTTTCTATTCTCTGTTTCAGTCTGGTCACTGTATTTAGAAAGTGAGCACTGGATGTAGTGTAGCTACACACGAAACTTGAGTGTGAAACAAATTTTACTCACAGGGTTGTAGACTGGCTGCCCACCCATACCCTATAATCAGATGAACAGATACAAGAATTAGTCAAAGAAGAATAAACAAAAATAAAACATGAAAGATTAAAGACGTGTCAACTTTATAATGTAGTGTTCTCACTGGTAGGTTTGATCCCGGGTATCCTCCCTGACAGAAGAAAACATAGAGCAATTTGGCTTCGTTTAGCATAAAAACAACCAAAAGCCATAAAAATACAAAAACATGTACAAATAAAAATTCAAAAAGAAAATAAAATCTGTTATTTTGACAAGATTTCATACCCCCATACCACCACCCATGTCTCCTGGGTATCCACCCTGCAAGAGGCACATATTTTATTGTTCCCTGATTCATTGTAGATTTGATTTTTTTTTTTTTTTTGACATGTTTGTGATAGAAGCTTTATAAATGAGTGAATATGAACACTGATGAAGATTAGAACAGAAAGTATTTATTTACCCCCATGCCTCCTCCTGGATATCCTCCCTGTTTAACATTAACGAGCCCGTCAGATTCTGCTGAATACTTTCAACGCTGTATTTAGTTTTATTTTTAAATTACGACCATCTTGTCATGAACACAGTATGTATACTTACTCCCATTCCTCCTCCCATTCCACCACCCATGCCACCTGGGAATCCTCCCTGTATATTGTTGAGAAGAAGCAGGTGTAAGTGACAGTACATTTAACATTTCACTATCGTTTTGGTACGGTATAGATATAGTTTCTGAAAACAGTAACATACCCCCATGCCACCTCCTGGATATCCACCCTGTGTACAAGTGGTGAACATGTTAAACACTGAACAATGTTGTGTTAAATACATTTTTACACTTTACTGGTTGCTCATCATATAATACATTATGTATACTTACTCCCATTCCTCCACCCATGCCGCCTCCCATTCCACCCTAAGAAAGACCAAACATAACTGTAATAAATCTTATTAATACATCACATAAAGTACAAAGGGTTGTACTAAGCAGAGTTGTTTAATACCACAGACACCAGGAAAAAGTGACATACTCACACATACATACAGTACAGAGACTACTAGTACTAGTACTACTACTCTGAGATCTACTACTGCGGTTTTTGGTACCGCTTTACGTTAAATTACATCTGAAATAGTAATTTCAGGGAAGTGATGGGAAAATACAACAGAAATCACCAGACATTTGTTGGTAGCATTGAGTAAAACTACTAACACTGCTACTATAATATGGCAACCAAAAGAAATCCTCTGATAACCATAAAATAACAGCCTAGTAAACACCAGCTGCCTTACACCCATAGAAGCCATTGTGCTTCTCAACACACACTGAGATTTCAGCTCTGCTTAGGTTTGAAGTACAAACATGATCAAACATTAAAACTCGGTAAAATGAAACTAACAGCTACAATATTTACTGATTTAAACACTCCCGTTCCTTTAGAAAACCTATTCATGCCACCTTGACACAGCATAGCAACCAGCTGTTACTGATTTGTTATTTACATCTCGTGTAATTTTTGATGAACTTCCTTGGCCCAGCAAAACGCAAAGCATCAGGCTGAAAGCTTCAGGGACTCAGGGTCTCACCCCTATGACGTTAATTGTCTGGATGGAAACATCTCCTCCGATCTGCATTGCACGCACTCTCTCAAAAGGAATACGGTGTTGGAAGGTGTGGAATTCATTCCCATTGACTTTGATCTGCAACAGGAAAAGAGGGTGCCATGCTCAGAACAGATCCAGAAATATATAATGTTGTATCTATTTAAGGGTTGAGGTGTTCACAGTGTTATAAACCACACAGTGACAGCACATCATAAGTGACACAAGAAAGTGTCACCTGTTAAGAAAATACTTTACATCTGACCTGGTAGCCCTGTGAAGTGACTATGATGACCATTTCAAAGCTCTGGCCCTTGCAGAAGGGCATGCTACGGATCTTTTCCTCTGATTGCCAGGATCCATTCTGGCAGGTGTTGAAGACCACCTTGTCCCAGCCATCAAACCGAGGGTTGAAGTGGAGGGCGATGTCGCTGGACTCGAACTCTCCACAAAGCAAATTAATAAAGAACCTGCCAAAAGTAACGAGAGGGGAACCAGAGACATGGCACCACTGAGTCCTGAGGTGACTGCTGACTTATTTTATTGTTAGACAACAGAAGCAATGCAAACAGTGCAGACAAGGCAGAAAAACCCAAGTATCGTAAAGGAAAAATCTCCCCACATATGTCACAGTACGTATTTACTTTGTCTGCTAATGGCCTGTAAAAGAACCACTGACGCTCAGATATTACTATTTTGAAAAGGGGAGGGACACCTGATAGAGAAGTGGGCCTGTGTGTTACAGTGGTGATATCCAACAATGCAGAGAAAACTGCTCCACCCAGAGTCAGATTGCACAAGGTGTTGCCTCACTTTTCAAAAGGTGTAAAAAGGTTTTGGTCAGAGATAAATATGCCACATTGGATAAAATATTACCGACAGTACTTGGAAGTTAATAAAGTATGAACCAAACACACCCAGCAGCTTTTAGCAAGTGCACTGTGTTTTCTAAACCCACCTGGTAATATTGTCAGGAATGGTTCCCTGTAGGTAGATGGACACCCCTTCCCTCAGCCCTCCACAGATGGGCCCCAGATAGGGAATTGTCTGTACAATGCATGCAAGCATGTATCATGTCAGTCACATTATGCAGTTAACAGTCACTCCATAAAGTGTCGGTCAAGACACAAGATATCCTGGCATGTCCGTGAAAAATGTGTGTGGCAGTGGTTTAATTTTACGATTTACTCTTCATGATGCAGTGGTAAAAAGTATTAAAATACTGCAAGTAGGGGTCATTTTGAGGTACTTGTACTTTACTTGAGCATCTCCACTTTATGCAACTTTACACTATTAATTTTCTATATTTGACAAGTGTTACTGCTTACTTTTCATATTAGCATTTTACATTAAAAGGTCTGATGAAACTTTATGCACTGTCAAAAATTCAGAGATTCCAAACTTTTTACCTTGTGACAAATATGCAGTGTCTGTTTGGGACCTCTTGTCATGTTTCAGGTGTCTGTTAGCATTTACTGCCTCTACACTTCTCTGATTGTTTCATTTAAATCACTTTCAAGGCCCAAAGAGATACATCTGACCAATAGTTCGCCAAAAACCAAAATTAGGACAAAAAAACTATTATCAGAGAATGGTGCTTTTTCTTCCATCCTTTCCAATTAATCATTTCATGACCTCTAAGATTTATCGTGCAACCCTTTGGACATTTGGTCACACTCCTAGTTTGGGACCCATTGACCTGAACTAATTGTATATAAAGGAGTTAAAGCTAGCTCCATTTTAATAACTCTTTCAAAACCTTTCTTTCGCCTTACAAAGAGAACTGTCCTGACATTAGATGAATGTCTTGCCAACAAAAAGTTAATTCATATTGCAATTTCCAATAAATAAATTCACTGAATGTCATAATGTCAGTGAAACTATGAGCAGACACAGTAGCCAGTGACTTAACAGATATTTAATTAGCTAACAAGCCAGTCGAGAAACCCAAGAAATGAGTCTGCAATAAAGGAACTATCATTCTGTTTTTAGATTTTTAAATTGGCTGGCTCCACTGATGAGTAAATCCTAAACCCTTTACAATGCATTACCCAGCAAGTCATACATACAGGGACAATCATTCCCTTAAAAATTCAGGAGCAGCCAGTGCAGATACTTACAGGGCCATAGATTGGCTGATAGCCAGGAGGAGCAACAAAAGACATGGCAGCAGTCACTGAGCTGGACAAGCAGGCAGAAACAGGAGGGTTTTGTCTCTGCTGGAGGCCTTGTTTTATACAGGTAGTGAGGGAGGGGCATGTCTGGATATGAAACCCAGGCCTGCATCACAATGTTTACTTTGGAGGCACATTAGCCGTTTGACCCAGTAGAGGAATGGCATGCTACAACAAAAAACTGAATAGAGAAAATATAATAAATAATAAAATACAGAATTTTTAAACCAGAGACCAAAACTGGCACAATACACCATGAAACTTGGGACTGTTGTATATTGTCCTTTATGTGGGAGTGGAAAAGACTACAAAGTCTAAATCTGTGTATGCAATTTGAGAGCTGTTCCGTCAGTTGTGATTTTAACATTTCTATGAGATTAAAATAATTGTAGAAGGGCGTGTGCATGATTCATAGATTATTCAGCCAAGTTTGTTTACCAAAGGCACAGAGAAACACAAGTATCCCTTATCTACCACTTAGTCCATTATTCATAACTCCACATATAAATGCTTCAGGGGGGCAGTAGGTTTTTCCAGCAAATTCTTTACAAAGTAAACATGCAAATTGCTCACACACACACACAAATAAATGCACATAGACACACAATCTTTCAAGGAACAAAAACTATCTGAGTGATAAATGGGTGGTTCCTAAAGCAGAACAATGTACTTGTAATATTTGGTTAAGATAAAAGTTGGCTAAAGTCACAAGAGGGAAGGTTTCATTTAATAACTTGTAAAATAAACAAAATATATCTTAATAATGTCCTGTCACTACATGTGCCAGGGTCAGAGAACCTTCTGCAAAGTATGAAGGCTGTAATAATCCAATATAATGAATATGGCGGACAAAAAAATCATGTATATGCAGTGAATTAAAATGCATTTAAATATATGTTGCAAACAAATGCTGATATATAATTTTTGTACAATGCTAACAGAACTTTTGGAATGCTTATGCTTAAAGACACACACTCACATATCTGAACACACACCATTGTATGGACCTAGAAGGTCTCCTCTAACCTGCAACCTTAGCAAAAACCTACGAGGGGCACTTGGATTGACAAAGAACACATACTGTATGCTCAGTGGACATCAAATGATAGAAATGAAAGATTTTAGCTGATTAATATTCACATTGGTGCAGCAGGTAAGGCCACAATGTAATCAGATAATCTACTCAATATGTAAATACAAAGATTTTACTGTGTAGTGTTCTTGCGTTATCACGCTCATAAAAATGTGTTTACACAGTCAGTCACAGAGGACATACGCACATATATACATCAAGTACAACCACACACGTAAATGAGGACACATGTTCCAGTTCTTAAAATAATCTGTTTATTCTGTACTGAAACACGGGGTTTAGTCAGAAAGAAAGTAGTGATCCCATTCAGCTCCATACCATCGACTGCCCCTGTGAAGAGCACAGCAACAAATTCACACTTCAGTCATCCGCAAACAAATGAGTCGTGACCTTAAAGATGGAGAGTTTTGTGAGTTTGTGTGCATGTGAGAGGCAGAGTGAAACAGAACTGTCTGAGATCACAACACACATGACTTTCTTGATTGAGAAAAATAACTTATATGCTGGATTCCTAAAAATATCTTTCATAAAAACCTAACTAGCAAAAACAAAAGCTAATTTTCTCTTCTGACTGCAAACGGGCCATTTACTTAAATGACCCGTGTGGATTTCACAAACAGCTCATGTCCGATAATATAGCATGGATCATTTCAATTCTTCAAAGCCTTAAAGAAAAATAAATATGTAAATATGATTTATGTAAAATATGTCTTTTCATCAAAAGGGCTCCAAGCAGCCTAGTCATTACTCAGTTATACAATGACACTTTGGCCATAATGTACATTAAATACATTCATTACCTATTTCAATGCACTGACACAAACGTATTTGTGCATAAATCGTCATAAAACTGACTCTTAGCCAGAGCGGTCGTCTTCAGAAGATCTGATCTGGATACAAACAATAAATAAATAATCTTGGCATCCTCTTATACTGTATGTGTGTGTGTTCATCATCACTGTCATAGATGGCACAGAGACACCGGTGAAAATAGGGGACCACATACACCCAGGGATGCATTGTAAGACTTTAGAGTGCAAGCTGGGTTTGTCTATACATCTGATTCACACCAGTATAAGTCAAATATGCAGATGATACCCCATTTATTATCTTGGCAAATCAATTCAACAAGAGTTTCGATACATGATTGATCTCTTGTGTGAAGATGAGTTTCTAAGCCTTGAGAGAGGAAGAAAAGGACTGAGGGGGCCTTAAATGTTCAGCACTCCCTCAGAGATCTCAAAGTGTAAACTGCTGAATCCTTTTCTTTTACATCACTCTCTCACTGAAAGGCCAGAAATCATAAATGAAAAACCACATGGCAGCAGCCACGTACGAAAAAATCCCCCACCTTACGAACAATATATATAAAACATATCCACTCAAATGTCAAATAAAAGTGTTAAAGCTAAAAATCTAAATTGCTAAAACAGTGACATTGCTATAGGCACTATAACGTTTACAGAAGTAGCGACTGAACAGGTCCAGTGTGTATAGACACAGTTGATATGCAAGGCAATCAATGTATTTTTAACTCAAAAAAGGCCATGTAGTGTATTCATAGTGGGAAAAAAAGGCCCGTGGCTTCTTGTGTCTTTTTATGCATCTCTGATTATTCATCTTTTTAAATCTACTCTGTTATCATTCTGCTGCAGGTGGTACACTAGTGCAGTCAAAGTGTGCATCGCTTCAACAGAGGAGAGAAATGCACAAAGGACAAAACTAAGACAGGTGTGTTCCATCTCTACATTTCTACTGTTTTCTCTCTCTGAATATCCCTCCCCTCCTCTCTTGTCTTTTCAGATGCACATGAGCAGTGGGAGACGTTATCCGAGCTGATCCTCATACTGCTTCCTGAAGCAGTCCCCAGCAGGGAAGAAGTCCCAGCATCGCTCCTGGTACATCTTCCACACATATGACTCCTGAGAGGCAGGTGGGAAATATCACAACATAAGCAAGAACAATAAAGGATGGAAGAAGACAAAATGATTAATGAGGCCTGCCCCTTTATTTTATGAACCTCCTTTATTTATCTTAAATGAATCTGTGTAGTTACTGACCTGTCCTGTGTGTTCTGTTTCATCTTTATTGATCAGGTACATCAGGAAGAACCTGCAAGAGAAAAGAAAACTACTGTGAAGAACAGTGCAACATAAGAACAGGGTTATTGTTTGGTGACATTCTATGAAAGACGGAACAGTTTTCTCAATTAGATTTCTCAAGAGGCCAAATTCCTGAGGTCAAAATGGTGGATAACCTATTTAAATACTGAACATTTTGAGTGCAAATATACACACTGCTTTCCTCTTCATGCCAGGTTCTGATACCAGGATGCAAGAGAGAGGCATACTGAATGATGCTGCACATTAACAGTCAATGTAAAACACTCATACTGTATTAAGGCTGTGCAGTGTAAGTGTTAGGTCTGCACTCTGAAAGGCAACTCACATGTAGTTGGCTAAGTTATGCTCTTCTAAAGTGTGTGTCTCGAAGCCGTGCGGCGTAGTGTCAAAGTAGTCACTTCCTATTCCACAGATGAAACACTTTGTCTAGAAGGAGAAAGGATGGTTTAGACTGGACATGCTCCTGGTTTGTAGCTGAAGGTAGACTTTATAAAATGACCAGGTAAATCCCTGTGAAAGTCATCATCTTACCTCCATGTCCTCTCTGACCTGCTCCTGCTGGTCTCTCAGCTCTCCAAAGGCATCGATGATCAAACCTGACACACAGATGCAGCATTATTTCTTACAAGTTTAAAGATCAGAGGGACTCACAACAAAGCTAATGTTTGATGAGGGAAGTGAAGGCCTGTTCTCTGACAGATGTTCCCAGCTGGTCAAGAATTCAATACTCCAACCTTCTTTTCTGGTCTCTAAAATGCCTCTCCATATTATTTATATTTCAGCCAACCACGTGTTGTCAGGAAGCTTCTCTATCTTTAGAAAAACTTTTAAAACTCCATAAATAATGACTTTCAAGTGCTTGCCTTTTATAAGCAAAATGAATTATTAAAGTATGAATTAAACAGAGAACTTCAACATTTTATATGAAATGTTGTAGCAAACAAATTAACTGCCACATTCAACACACATATATTAAAATAGTGTAATTGGATAATGTGGGTGGTGTCTAATCATCCACAAGGAACACAGAGTCCTTTGTTTAAGAAAATAACCACTCGTAAAAAATATCAAACGCAGGACTGTTCATACCCTGGATGATAGCAAGCAGGATGACAATGACAAAGAAGAAGAAGGTAATGTCGAAAACCACTCGATAGAGCTCGTATTCATCCCCGGCTGGGTCCTCAATTTCATCTCCTATGCCACCACCAGCACGCACGCCAACATACATGTGGAACAGGTAACACTGCAGGAGTGAGTGAGGACATGGGTCAGTTTAGAAAGTTCAGTTTTGTGACACAATAAATAAAAACCACAGCAGTGCCCTCAACTCACAGTCATCATGTCATCACACTTCATGTCAGGTTCGTCCTCATCCTCACTCTTGTTGTAGAACTTGCGGAAGAAGTTGAAGGCCACCACGGTGTACAGGTACACTACTACAGCCAGCAGGCCTACTGTCATCACCAGCTGCAAGAAACAGATGAATAGTCCAGTGTATGCTTAATACAATGTCAAGGCTGCAGTTGCTAATGGGAAAACAGGAGGGCAGAAAGCCTTGTGATGCATTTTAAACATGGTGATAAATAAAATGTGCAAGGGCCAGTGGGACAGACTGGTGCAGCAAAAATGTGCAAACCTGTTTGCCGTTGTGAGTAACAGAGGACAGAATGGTGCGCAGGGTTTTGACACCCATGGCGATGTCCAGAAGATGAGCGGCAAAGAAGAAGTTATTGTAATGTCCAAGCATAGACATTAGCGTGTACCAAACCAGGTAGAGGAAGGTCTAAAAGGTGAAAGAGTGCAGTCAGTGGCACCGTACTCATAACAAATTCTCTCATTGTCTAAGTAATACCATCAACTGCTTCTTCAACTCACATTGTCAGTGAACACAACACCAAACTTCCAGATCTGGTACTTGATGTCAATAGATGTTACCCTGAGGACAGAAGGACATGTTTGTCTGAAGCATTCTCTTCCATAACCCTGCTAGTTAAAATGCATGAACAGTACATACCAGTTGAACATTGAGTTGTCAGGTTCAGGCTTCTTTTCGTGCGTCATGGCACTGACGTCAAGAGAAGCCAAATCCATACCGAGCAGTTCAGCAATCCTTTCTCTGCCGTAGATGTCACCATATTTATCCAGAACCTGGATATCACACACAGACGTCATTTCACTGCAGGACGTATCCCTGTAAAAACATGGCTGACACCACAGCTGAAAAGCTCACCTTTCTTTTCACAAACTTGTCCCAGTAATTGTTGGGGAAAGTGCTGCATTGAAAGAGAAACATGATAAAAATTTCACAGTTAACCTAAATTTCTAATGCTTTACTTTAAAATGAAAATTTTGTCTTCAGATGTTTAACTGGTTGCAGGCTAAAAATTCTGTTAGCGTTTGGGAATGGGCCAGGTCTAGGCTGGAATGAATCAGACTGGGCTGGAATGTCAGGCTCATTCAGTATCTACTGTACATCGATCATCCATCAGATGATGTAGCAGACATCTTACGGAGTATTGAGCACCAGTCTGTCCCACTGGCCCTTGATGTCATCGTCCTCAGGCTGCTCAGTGACATAGAGACCGTCAAACTCCAGCTTTCTGGCCAGCTCCTTCTCTCTCTTGAAGATAACCAGAGGGACCTGAAGGGTAGGGGGAACAGAATACACACTGCATGAAACCTACAAGCAAACAGAAAAATACTGATGGATTTTTGTGTAGCAAAGCACAGTGAACACCAAATACCTTGAGGCAATTGTAGCCGATGATGCAAAGGAAGGAGATGATGGTGTGGATCATAGCGAGGAAAGACAGGGCTGGTTCCATGTAGCCTGTGCTCTCCTCCAAGAAGTAGTACAAGGGACCTTCTTCATCATCATCATCTCCTCCATCATCTAATCCAGACCCCTCCTCTTCAGCACCAGAGCCTTCAAATAGACCAGAGCCCTCAAACAGACCAGAACCCTCAAACTCCTCCTCACCTGGAGGACTGTCAGACACCTGGAAAGGTCAGATGCAAAACACATCCTGTGAGTCTTCATATGGCATGTAACCAAATTTCTAAAAAGCTGAGGGTGAAAAAAACGGTAAATAACGTTTTGACAAGATGTTGCAAAATACAGTATTGTTTTCATTTAACATTAAAATACTACAAGCTAATGACAGCCATGGCTTTGGAGTATAACTCTTATTGTGTCAGGATTTGTATAACTTTTCTAAACTTTTATGCAAATCAGTTACTGGATATTAAATTTACAATCCTCCAATTACTCAGAAACTGTACGTGTGTGTTTCATCTAAAGTAAGTTACAAATGCACAGACCTTGTAGAAGAGTAGGATGAAATTAAGAGCGAACGCGATGAACAGGGCCAGGAACCGAAGGTTGTAGAAGTTACGAGAAAGGTAGTTCTGGAAGGAAATGAAGGAGTAAGGTTTATCTATGGTCCCAGCAAAACATAAAAGCCATATTTTGCAGTCTGATTCCTCTGTATTAAAGTCTAAAACAAATTAGGTAAGCTAACGAGGTGCTTATTTCTGCTCTCCTGCAGTTGCCAGCGATCTTCCATGAGCTAACAGTCAGTGGTAACACAGATATACTGAAATAAGGCCGTTGTATAAAATGATTTTCCAACAGCATCCCGAGCAAATTATCAGGACATATCAGACGTCATTTTTGGCATCTAAATTCCTTACAATACAATGTTATCACTGCATGTCAGACTATGACACTATGGGGTGGCTAAGAGCATAAATTCATAACTATGTTCTGCAGCAAAGAACGTCTTACCATGAATTTAACCCTCTGAATCTCCAGCTCATTCCACAGCTCAAAGCCGTCACCAACAGGTTTCTTCTCCTTTTTCACCTTGGTCTTCACCTTCTTTTCTTCCTCCTCTTCCTCCTCCTTCTCTTGTTCCTCCTTTACCTCAGGTTCAGGCTCTGTCTTTTCTGCCTTCTCTGCATTCTCCGTGCTGCAAAGGAGAAATGGACAAAAACACGCCCTTTCTCTTTGCAAACAGAAAATGTGTCTCTGGACTTAGGAGCAGTACTGCCTTAACAACTGATACAAAGATTTGTGATGATCCATCCATCCATTTTCCTCCGCTTATCCGGGACCGGGTCGCGACCCGGTGATGATGTGAACAGCTAATTATGAACAGTGAAATGTCTGGATATACATATCATCTAAGAAGTGGATCAACTCTAAATTTGTATTTTCATTAACATTTGAATTAAGTTAATATAGCTGTAATTTTATATAATATTTATGTATTATCCCAAGGGTTCATTATCTTTAGCAGAAGCTGCTCAGTTCTGATGTTGACAACTTACTCTGCCTTCTCGGTCTCCTGAGGAGCCACTTCTTCGTGTTGTTCAACTTTTTCTTCCTCTCCTTGTCCCTCTGCTGCAGCTTCCAACTGTTTCAATAATTGTTTGCATTAAATTAATTGACTCTTGGAGAACAGATACATTAGACAACAGTGAAAGACCATGAGACAGAATGCCTCACCAATTTCCTCTTCAGCAGTGGTGTGCCCTCTGGAGTCGGAGGCTCTTCAGGTGTTGTCTCACCAAAGTCTCCAAGTCCCCCAGGAGCATTGAAACCAGGCAGGCGTCCACCTTCCCTTTCTTCGCCATCCTCCTCTTCCTCCTCTCCTCCCACAGCATCTAAAAGTTCTGCTGCTCCATCTGTGTCTTGGACCTCTCTAGCCCCTGGCTCAGGTGGCAGGTCACCATGAACTTCATCCTGGGTTGGATCTGGCATGCTGGCTAGAATCTCAGTCACCGTCATCTTCTTGGCACCCTCCACTAAGCCTCCACCGAACAGTGCCTTCCATATGAGTGTGAAGAAGCCCTTACATATACTATAGGCAAACATCAGGATACCCATCAGAATAGTGTAGACAAGCGTAACCAGGCCAATCACCATGTCCTTTACTGTCATTCTTCTTAGTTTACGGTACTGACGCCGCAGGTTACGGAAGGTGAACATGTTGAAGAAGTCAACCACGCTCTTCAGAAAATCTGCAAAAGCTGAGGCTGACTCTGCAGCTTCCCCTTCTCCTTCATCTCCTTCTGCAGGCTCTCCTTCATCTCCTCCACCCTCCTCTTCTTCCTCATCATCTTCCTCTTCTGCACCATCTCCCTCAGGCTCAGAGATAGATGCAGCAATGTTCATCTCAAAGATGGTGTCCTCGCAGAAGTTCACAAACAACTCCATTTTCTCACTCTCGCCGCCCTCATTGACCACATCAAAGATGAACTGCCTTTTGGACTCCCTGACTTGAGGCATTTCCCACTGGTTGCGGTTGGCCTCACTGATTTCAAAGTAAATACGCTCGATCCTCTTGCTGGCTCCCATTATCTCTATGCGACCAAGGAATGGGCGGAAGTAGTTAAGCACGCTCTCGGCCTGCTCCAGGAAGTTCTGCAGGCGAGTGTCATGAGGTACGTGCTCTGACAGGTTCGTGAGCAGAACGGCGATATTGAAACCAATGTCTTTGGCTGGCTCTTGGAAACGATCAGCAAATTCCTCATAGTTGATCATCTCATTCTCATCGGCCTCTGAGCAGGAGAGGAGGAACTGGATCTCTGCTGGAGAGTATTGCTTCTGGCTGTCCATGGCCTTGGAGAAGTCCTTCTTGGAGATTAGCCCACGGGGGTCAGTCACATAGTCTCGGAAGGCGTCCGATGCCACTATGTCCTTGAGCTTGAGGAACATGTCGAAGAACTTGAGGATCATCTCCACGTTGCTGGAGGACTCCACCAGCATGTCAACCATCTGCCTAGCAATAGTGCCATTCACCACATTACCTAGAAGTACAAGGTGAGAGGAGGTGAGAAAACCACAGACAGCATGTGTCAGAAAGGACAGGATATCACCAGGCTGGGATGGACATCATACCTTCAAGCAGAGACAAAAGCATCACCACCATGTCCTTCTGCAGATCCAACAGTTCCTTCAACAGTCCAATCTGACTGGAGTCCTTTAACCAAGTCAAAACACAAACAGCAGAGCAAACAAAATTCTTATATTCAATATATAATGTTAACATTCAGGTAAACTGACTGAAAATTTACATTCTGATAATATATCACTGTGTAAGTTGAGATATGTCTGTCTGAGAGACACTACCTCAGAGTGTGCCGTACTCCAAAAATGATCCTGGGTTTGCATTTTTAAATAAAGAATATGCATTTTAATCATAGTGTACAGTGAGTGTGATGGAAAGCAAGACAGACACTGGAAACACAGACAGGTACAGTATAAGAGGGGGAAGAAATTGCCTCTTCTACTGTAGACAGCACCGCTTTTCCCCATTATCCAAAAGAGTGGCTACAGCATGGGAGCAAGGAAGACATAAACACACTTGCAAACACTGATTTTAGCACCAGTGGATAACAAAAGCCACACATATTTTACAGTCTATAGTGATTGTCAGGCTGGTGGAGATGTAGAGGTAAAGGGTTTCAGGGCAAGCAAGCATCAACCACCAGTGAAATCACTGCTATACCTTGAAACACTTCTACACCAAAATAAGTACAATAATAATAATTCAACAAAATAGAGCTAAATGAACAGAAGCAAAGCAGGTGTTTAATGACATTAAATATTAAATAAAGAAAATTATCTTTTGTGTTCAACTTCAAAGAGTTTATCTACTTTAATATACACTAATATACAGTAGTGGTGTGGAATAAATGTCAGAAATGTATTTAGAAATAACTTTCAAAATATGGCCAATCTGTCACAAAATAACTGTGCAATTTCATACTTGTTTTATCTTTTCCACCTCACAGAGTCTGTGAATGGGCAGTCGTTGTCTGGACCTGTTGTTCATTGTCCATGCATTCAAGAATAACACTTGTTTTTCTTGTGGGAAAACTCAAAAGCAAAAAAACAATTTTACCAGACATCACAAAGGAAAAAAATTGATTTGCTGCAGAGGGAATATACAAAGATGGAAACGGAAATGATGCAGGATGTTGAGCTGAATAATTTAATAAATAATGTGATGAAGCATGAGATCTTTAAAGGAGCACAAGGGCCTTCTAAAAGAGATGGCATTCACAGAGAGACAGATTCTTACGCCATTTCGTTGTCCAGGATCGGGGTGCATCTAACAGAGTTACACACGAAAATAAAACTGTTATCCATCAACAGGTTTACTTCATTTTTGTATTTGTTTTGTACTTTATGTAAATGTTGACATGATTCTAAACCAATTTTTTGAAATTCAGTATTAATACATTAGCACAGATCAGTTTTCCTCTTGATAAAAAAAACATGAACAATGACAGATAGATGGTATATTTTCAGAACATTTGTGGTGTTAATACAGATTTTCTGGAAACCAACTAATCTGTAAGCACTGATGCAAAAGCTGTTCTGTCTTGCTTTAAAAAACATCAAATATATGAAAAAGATATAAAAGTGCAGCAGCATCAGTAGCAATCAACATTGCCATGTAAAATTAGACTGAGTAGGAAACATTGCAGCTGCTTGTTAGATCAAACTAATTACAGACACCAGACACATGTTATCTAAAGCAAACACACATTTGTCTAAAGCACAATCAAACCGTGAGCACTGGTCAGTAGGAAAAGAACAGATGCTTAAATCAGGTGAGGTGGGCTAACTCTATTGTACACAATCAGAAAATGTGAAGTGAGATCAAGGGGGAGTAACTGTTTCTTTAAATTGTTTCCACCATCTTAACCAACATCATTTAACTCCTAGACTGAGCTTCCATATGTGAGTTCCCATTTTTTGGCACCTTTAATTGTGTATTATTGACTCCTTATTTAGGTTCAGAAGCAAAACTTCAACTGGACTCAAACTGACAACATAACAACTATATACTGTGGTCATAGCATATTTAACCTTCTGCTGTACATGTATCATCACCTCTCTAAAGGTAAAAATAATGTAAAACGGCTTTGTAGAGAGGGAGAAACAATCCGACAACGAAAAAGTGAGAAAAGCTAGCTAAAATTTAAAATCAAGTTCATTAAACAGTCAAAAATCAAATAAATATAAACTTTACTCTGAACTAACCAGAGAGAGACAGTTCACAAACTCAGTAAACTCAACGTGAAATTAAAACATATGATATAAAAAGGTAAAAATTGTTATTTATAATTCTAAATTGGTTCATTGTTTTTTCATTCATTTTCAACTGTAATGGCACCGAGACATTACTGGGTCATTCAAAATGAATAATTTTAAATTAACCATGGTCTGACCTATGTCATGTACACTGAAATAAATACTCACATTTGTTAGGATGTCTCTTACCTGAGCAAGTTTCATCATCATATGTGCAAAGACGTGCAGGAAGCCCACCACAGCGTCCCACAACCTGCTGTGGGCCAGAGACTGTTGGTTACCAGTACAGGGACCCTGGCGGACACACACAATGTGGGCAATGATATGAGCAAAAAAGAGCCAAGAAAAGCCAATATCCCTATTATGTGAAGAAAACCCACTAACCTGGGCAAGTGAAACATGCACAGTGATTAGATCAACACTCTACAGGTTCCACTTTCCAAACAGCACATGATCCCTCACTGGCTTCCCACCCTGCACCACCCTGTGGTGTCTGCTTGAAATCATGTCTTGTGTATTCATTCACCATTTAATCTGTCACTTATGCAGGACCTTTCTCACCTGGATGTACTCAGTCAAGCTGTTGAAGACCTGCTTAGCCACAGTCATTGCTTTGGAGAAATTCCTCTTACCAGGCTCATCAATGATGTCTTTTCCTGAGTAGTACCAGTAAAAGTCACTGATAGACTCCTGCAAAGGAGGATGAAGAAATTAAGTGCTAAACTGACCCAAGAAAAAGATATTTTGTCTATAGTTAAAGTATAATTTAGTATGTGGCACAGTTTTAGTATGGCACTAATATGTTGGAAGTGTAGTCTAATTATACTTATAACAAACAACAAATTATAATTACCTGACTTAGGTTAGACTTTAGCACACTAAAATAAAAATTGCTCTATTTTCTAAAATAAATGCACAGTATGGGTGCTGACTGGCTAAACTCTCAAAAGTAGCAAGCCAAAAAACTCCTCCAGCCTGTAGGGCAATAACCAAAAGGTTAAAGTGCCATCTAAACACCACCTAACTGCAACATCCATGGTGTAGTTCCTGGCCCCTCTCTCTAGACAAAGCAATACATTTTGTATCACGATATATTGTCCCATAAGTCAATCAAAATAATGTACATGCTATGGAGAAATCTAATGATAAAGAACAGCTTAACACCTACTGAAAAGCTTCATGTTGATTTACTTTAGGGTAAGTTTTACTGAAAGTACTTTACACAGACTATGTCAGAGTGACCTGTAGTCGGAGCAGGTAGTCTACAGTGCAGATGATGACATTGATGGTAGTGGTGCTGCCTGTCTGAGTTCTCAGGTAGTTCTGAAAATCTGGATACAGACAACAGAAATAAAATGTAGCTTATATGTACTTTTCAACAACTGACATTCCATAAATTCTTACATAAAATACTTAGATAATGATCCAGGTATGTAGGTGATCAGGTGTATGCATGGGATATTTGTACCCCATCAGTCTGTATATTCATTGTACAACCACTGAGCTTAACACTAGTGATATTTGAGAAATAGGCATTTCAGTTCTTTACCGACTCACCGTTATTGTGGCCCTCACAGAGAAGCTGCAGGAAGCGGAAGAGGTCACACGTAAATTCATTGTCTGCCATTACTTTTTCATCTGGGCAGAGGAACAAAGGAAATGCAAATAAATCTGTGCAAAAGAAAGTGTTAATAGTGCCTGCACAGATTGTATATGAACTCAGTAAGTTCACGGTGTTATTCTGTTAGAATGCAGTTATAACAAAAATTAGCACAAGCTATTAGCACAAATACCAGTGTATTTTACTTTTGAACTGAACTCTATACTAGTCGTTTCTCTTGCATCACTGATAAACTTGAACATTGTCTTCTTATTGTCATGTACAATATTTGTCCTACTGCTTTGCAGAAAAAGTAAATTAAAACCATTTTACCAAAACAATCTAGTTAAAATTATAGTGTAATAGTTCTGCGAATGGCATTTAGGTATATTCTGTAATTACTAAAAGGAACAAGAGGTACCTGTTGTTGAGTCCCAAAAAATAGTTTATTAAAACTAGACCTGTGTTGTGTCTTTCTCTTTATCAAAATATGGACTCTTATTTCTAAAAATAAAAAAATATTTTAGAAAATCTTTCAACAGGGATAACTGCTGTGGGAGTGGAATTACTTCATAGCTTTCTGTTGTTTTAAGAAAAATAAGTAATAGACGATAACGATTAAAGTTTTAGATTGTGCATCAACTGTGTTAACAGAATCAGCAGTGAAGTAGTGATTATGTTGATCTATAGCAGTAGATCAAACTAAAGCCCACAGTGTGTGTGTGTGTGTGTGTGTGTGATGACTCTGGGGGACATTAGTGTTAGTACTGTACAGTATGTGTGCTGTATGCACGTGTCTTGTGACGGTGTGTACACACATGTCCACTGCAAAAACTGTGAAGCTGTAATTACCATCACCTCATACCGCTCGCCTGCTTTGATTAGAATATGGTAGTGAAAACCACAAACCCCTCCGAGACTCTGATGAGGCTTCCATACTGACTCCATTTTTGGTCTTTCCTTTTGCTTATGGTCCCAGACTTTAACTTTTTTAGAGAAAATATCTTCTTAACAAAACTCATGGACAGCAGATAAATCACAGTGAAATGAGCATGGAACACAGATAAATTAAGACAAAACCAGGGAAGCCGATCTGCACAAACACACACACGACACAAATGTTGACGGTGAACACAGAAATACAGAGACAAGGCACAAGACACACTGTCATGCAGGACAGATCTACTGAACTCTGCAAACTCCAATAAGCTGTCTCACTAATGTACTTTATATCTAATACTGGAAAATGCAGAATCAATTAATTGATTCCTGTTGTTGTCAGCGTGGAAGTAAACTAATCTTTTTTTACAAGAAGTGAGTAGCTTCCTATGTGTGGGCAGTATGACTCAGTTTAAACATTGCACTTTAATTACATTTCAAATCTCATCTGACATTGTATATATCTCTATTAGCATACTGTCCCATCAGAAAGTTAAAAATCACTTTCTCTAAAATACACAAGCAACTGAATTATTGCAGTGAGTAAACTAAAAACTAAGTGTGGCAATGACACCGGGTTTCTTATTTCTGCAGAATAACAAATATGGGCATGGGTGGGGGTGAAAGCTGTCATCACAGTGAATGTTTAATCCCGTATCTGTGCAAGCACAGGGGTGGGATCACATGCAACAGTATGTTGAGAGGTTACAGTATAAGTACAAAATATATAATTATAGGAACCATCATTTCAGCTTGCATTTGCCTTGACTGGTTTCTTGTTACCATTAAACTCAGCTGACCGCATGCTCAGTGTAAAAAGAGACCCCCCCTGCTGTCTTCTATGTGACCACATTTTATGCAAGATCAGCACCAGCACTTCTTTCTTTACAGTAACCTGCTGTACTTGAAGAAGTTTTCAGTTTTAAGAAGTTACAGAATGGCTTTGCACAGGTTGTCCAGCTGTGTGGTTCAACCCACATAAAGGATAAACCAACTATATTTCAGTGATGCAAATAAGAGAGATGTAGAGCTCAGAGAGTTCCTGCTGCTGCTGCAATTCATTTCAGACTTTCTAGGACACAGGGTCAGTGAAGTTCTCTATAGGGGGTTTTCCAGGAACCTATCAAAACATATCTAGCCAAGTAAACGCTCATCTCAGGTTCTGTGTTTTTTTTCTATGGCCCTCCACCCGCTATGGTGTTACATTTCAGAAGCTACATTTCAGCACCCCTCAGAAGGTAGTGGGTGCTTGCAGGGGTGTCGCCTGTGAATGGTTAAATGTCAGGTCTTCACGTCTCAACTATTAGCAGCGTATAAACTGTCTTGATCTCAGTTCATTGACTCACATGCTCTGCACAGCTGTGTATGTGTGCAGCCTTGTCTTCGACTAAACGGAGACTGACACAGGGAAAAACTGTGGAAAAGCAAAGGAGAATGGTGCACATCAGGCCCAGGTCACACTGGGTGATGATAATGAGGCTGTACCGCTGGTTAGGTTCCGATAGTGGAAACACAGCTTTAGATCAATTTGATAGAACTAAGGGGGGGGGGGGGACTTTATAGCCTTTGCTTCTCAGTGATCAGTCACAAGACTGAGAGAGTCAGAGTCACAGTAGATCTGTTGTAAAACACTCAAGGATGAAACTGAAACTTTACAATCACTTTGAAAGAAAAACTACAGAGATAAAATCCACGAGAGCAGCATGAGTATCATTGTGAGGTTTCCATTATAATGCAAACATAATCAAGTGAGTGTAAAGTTTGATTTCACTGGTTCCTTGAGTGTGAAATGAAATGCATGTTAAGTTCACAGCACGGGAAGACTAGTCAAATGATTCTGAGCTAAAAGAGAAAAAGGGCAGAAAGAAGGAAAAGAAAGAAAGAAAATATGACAGCAAAGCTTTATTTACCACGTTCTAGCTTCATATCTGAGAATCATGAAGACAGCAAAGTGACGAGAGGGAAGGACATGGGCATGAGGTAAAGGGTTGAAACGGGCAAAGTGAACGAGATGTGGGAGAGAGAGAGAAAGAGACAAAGAGACGTAGTGAGTCCAAAAATCGTATGGCTGTCATGGGTGGTAAACAGTTTCATACATCAGCAGTGAAATGCTGTGATTAATTCAAAAGCTCTAAACACTCTCAACACACTTTCATGAAAACATACCTGCAATGTGGCGTCCATACAATAGGCACACTCACACACAGATGCAGACAAGAATAACGTACACACTATACAGTAACAACAAAAATGTCAGATTATATCACAAACCAATGCAAAATGAAGTAGGAGAACAAAGATGTGGCACTGTGTGTGTGTGTGTGTGTGTGTGTGTGTGTGTGTGTGTGTAAAGGTAGCTGTCAGCATATGACAGTGTGTGTTAAGATACTGTGTGATACTGTAGCAAGAGGCTGTGGATCATACTCACTGGTGCCTTCCTCTGAAACCATCCCCAGTCCCTCAGCCTTGTTCTGTCTCTCAAAAGCGTTCAGATCCAAAACACTGTCAACATCAAACAGTCCAACAAACTTTACTTATAACTAGACCTTCTTAAAAGTAAAACTGTTTTACAAACTTCAGCAGTCAGAACCAAGAAAGGAAACAAGCAAATTTATTTCAGACCTGCAGGTCTGCATCAGGGCCTGAACACTAAGGAAGAATCCCACATCCTTTTTATCCTTCAGATAGTCCAGCATTCTCTGCACAAGGGGTATTGTTGTTAAACAAAGAAATAAGAAATAAAAAATAGTTTAGCTCTTTATTCCAGCTGTTCAGTTAGAATATAACTGTCTCAAATATACTGTATGCAAAACTCTCATAAGCTCTGTTTACCTGCTGTACATCACAGTTGCCTCCATTGAGGATGGAGATTCCCAGTTTCAGTGTGGAAGAAACCATGGCTCCAGGCTCGCCTGCAACAAGGAGAAACTTAAGCATTGTGCAACAGTTGTTGAGTGATGCAGACCATCTCTGTCATCACAATCAGTTTTAGATATTACTGATTACTTGTTTTCACAACATGGCATTGTGTTGCTCTGTGTCATTATTCTAAAAACTGAAAAGCACTGCATCTCACATTTCTATTCTTGCCTTAATGGAATAGGAAATATAACAGTTATACATCTAAAAAAAATACATTTATTACAGATTAGTCCAGATAGGTCATTTATCATTCGTGAGAAAGTACGCATACAGTATACAGACAGGTGACAAATGAAAAGACAACCCAACATAAAGTGTCTCAGTGAGGTGCTGGGCCACCACGTGCCACCAGAACAGCTTCAGTGTAGCTTGGCATTGACTCTCCAAGTCTCTGAACTCTACTGAAGGGATGAACATAGTTCTTCCCAAAGATATTCCTTTATGTGGTGTTTTCATGATGGTGGTGGAGATGATGTCTAACACATCGCTCCAACGTCTCCCGTAGGTGTTCAACTGGGCTGAGACCTGGTGACTGTGAAGGTCACAGCATATGATTCACATCATGCTCATACTCATCAAATCATTCATCATCATTCCTGTGGCTGGGGGAACTGTCATGCTGGAAGATCTAACCACTCATTTATTCAGGGTTTTCCTTTAATTTGTCACCTAGCTGTAACAGTTATGGCTAAGATTAGGGCAGCCTATAGTTATTTAAGTCAATATATCGTCCAGAGGAGTGACAAAAACCTATGCATATGTGTGTGCCCTTGTATTACTTACTTTATGGGGACTGAAACCTGTTAACACACTCACATTGTGAGGCCTTCCTTGTAAGGACCAGAGGAAGGTCCCCACAAAGAAATCACTGAATTTTAGCGTGGCAACATGGTTTAGGGTTAGGGTGAGGTTAGGTATTAGGCATGTAGTGGTTATGGTTAAGGTTAGGATAAGTCTATAGGAAATGAATGTAAGTCCCCACAAGGAATGAAAACACAGTGTGTATGCATGTGCATATGGGGGAATGGGTGGCCCTAGGATATTGCATTTACCTTTACAGGCACTGATCATTTGCAGCACCATCTCTGCAGCTCCGCGGTTGTGCAGACGAGACTGCTGGTACAGAAGCCTCTGTTTCTCCATCTCCTTTTCCTGTGGAGCAGAGCAGGAGGGACACAGCTGTAACCCTGCCAAGAGGGACTGCACTGCCCCCCGCACTCATACACAAGCACTCACACATCCTCACATTTCTGTTATAATAAAGTAACTGACTACATTCATAACAATTATAGCCAAGCTCATGAACAAAAATTTTATTGTTTCTCAAGAAATAGCTTAAACTGATAAAAACACAATGTCTATATATATTTTTTTTACTCTTCTCATTTTTCTTTTCACATGTGACAAAACTAGGCCTGCTGTGTCTGGTCTTTCTGCTAAGCTTGGTTAACCTGAGCTACTTCATGTACAACATGGACAGAGATGAAGCTAATATAAATCTCTTCACCTAACCATGATCAAGATGGCACACAAGAGAATTTCCTCAAATAATAGAATAAACCTGATTTTTAAAAAACACTCTCTTGGTGACAGAAATGGTAAGAATCACTTAGGATTTTGGCTCAGGGGCTGGGTACAGCGCTGAGTCCTTCTTTACTGAAAAGTCCAAAATCTAAAAGACTAAAACTCATTATCACAAAGGCAGATATGCAGGAACACACACACACACACACACACACACACACGTTCTCTTCCACTGGGACACAATGAGTATTAGTGATGGAGATCGTTATTCCAGCTGTTGACATCCTCCAGAGGCAGGAAACATTTGATGGCAGCAAATGTTTCTTCCCAGAGGATTACACATACTTCACACACACTTCTGATGACGAAACAGCAGATGTCTCAGTAACACTTAACAGCATGCAGTACCTGTTCCAAACAGTACAACTCAGTGTTGTTCTACTTTATGCCCCAAAGCCCTACAGTTATGCTACCTGCAGCAGCATCATGGGATTCCTGTTTGCTTTTCAGTTAAACCACTCCTTGTGAACTTGAGCTGACATTGAAGGAAAGGTATCTACTTGAATTGGTTATGAGTATTATTTAGATATTTAGTACAGGACTCTTCTGAAATCTTATCAAATGCCTACTGTAAGACTTTGGATTTACGCTGTACTTTGACCAGCATAAACATTTTTGGATATTGACAGTTAATGCCTAAAACTGCAATCACAGGACTGATAATCTGTCATCTCTGAGTTCAATGATTTTGATTTAAGAAGAAAAACCATTTCAGTTTCACTAGCAGAGACCACACCCTCGGGGAGGGATGTATGTTGAATGAATGCTCGAGTATGGTAAAATGCTTGTTTGGGGGGGGGGGGGCTGGGGGAGGTTTTTTCAGGGGTCCGTGCCGCTCTCAGGCACTGGTGGACCCCCATAGAGGGAGAGTATGAAGAAGGGAGAGATGATAGAAAGAGGTGGGTTATGAAAGGCAGAAGCAGAAGAGTATTTTGAATGTAATGAGGGAAGGAAGAGGCATGTGTTTGGGCACAGTCAATCTGAACTAAATTTGGAGGCCTGCTGTGTAAAGTGTTGAAATTTTGAAAACAATTACAAAGCACTATATTTCACTGTCCGGTGTAAAAGTATGTTATACTTCTTTAATGCTGCTATATCACACAGTACTTCACTGCTATGGTCGCTGTGCTGAACTTCACTGTCCTATGTTATATTATATTACATTTTTGTTACAGATGACACATTACAGCTGCTAAAACCATCCTGTTGACAAAAGATTTTGGATTAGACCCACCCACTGCACACCATGCATAAAGCCCCACCCATAGCACCCAGAACTGTATCTACCCCTCCCTCCGCCCCCCTCCCTCGTAAGCCTGACTGTGTTTAATAAAACTGGGGAGAGACTTTGCTCTGGATACAGAGGTTCAGCTCAGTGAAGAGAGACTGCATATGATTATGGAGTGTGAGTGTCTGGCTGTGAGTGTTGCAGTGTATGGTTGCATAGGTGTGTGTGTTTGGGTTTGGGACAGTGTATGTACGGCTGACTGTGCAGGCTTTTACTGTAGTCCTTGTAAGCACAGAGAGGTAGACTTGTTAACACAGCCCATTTCAAAAAGTAAAGACAAACAAAAGCAGTTACTTCTCAATTGTTAGATCTTGAGCTAGAGTTACCAAGTAAAAACATATGGGTGAAGTCGGCCCAGTTAGCAGGTGAGTCAGGAAAGGGTGGTGCAAATTTGGGAGAGACTGACTACAGACACAGGATCAGCACAAGAGAGCTAGTTCTACTGTTAGGAAACCTGCTGGATGGCTCAGCAGAGTTATCAGAGTTTCTAAAAAAGCTGACCAATTCAGTCTTGGATGGCAACACCACATTTCCAGTGGAAATGGGTGTAATGCTATCCTCCAGGAAAAGCTAACCATCTCTAGAACTACTCTATAACTCTACAGCATCACAGTGTCCAAACTTGGACTTTGAGACATTCATTCAAGTTGCCAGTCATAAAAGTTGATTTACTAAGGTCGCTCCAAATAGACAGTGTTCTGGGGTTAAGCAGCCCGGGCCAATAGCTGGCCAGCTGGTCTGAGACCAGGACAATTCCAGGTGGCAGTTGAATGAAGGCATTAGTCCCTAAAAATATAGAAGCACACCAGGCTTGGAAACTGCGATTCTGAAGTTTAACTGCCAGCAAAAAACTGAGTGGTTTCTTTAGACCTGGGTTTCATTTTGTTGTCTTTTGTTGCACCACTCGCTGCACTCAAGTCATGCAGTTCAGGAACTCAAACTGAGTCTGCAACATTGATTTGACTGTTGGGCATAGCCCAGCAAAGGCATGCACAGGTCAGTCCACCATAGCAGGAAATAGACAAGTGGTGAGAGTGAATGAGAGAAAAGACAGTTGGAGAAAGAAAAGAAATGTGGGGTGGGGTGGGGGGTGGGGGGGGTGCCGAGTGTGGTGTCAAGGTGTGGTCACTCAGTGCATGGGGAGTTGCTTCTCCGCTGACTCCCTTGTCTCCCCTCCCCTGGTCCCCCCATACCATCTCTGTCTGTCGCACCTCAAAGGATGGCTCCTCCCCCTCCTGTTCTCCCCCTTCGTCTTCCTCACCAATGTGACAGCTCTGGAGGGACACAACAGGTAAGTTAGGGACTGAGAACAAGAGCACACAAGAAAATGAATGAATGAACAAATGTTGAGGAGAAGGGTTAGGGTAGAAAATTAAATTTAGAATCAACCCTAAATATTTTGTGTTAGAGCCAAATATACTTTTTTGTTGTGCAATTTCAATGTGTGCGTGCAGCCATGCTCTTCATTATATGTTAATTATATATGTTTATTATTTTTCATGCAAAGAATATGATGAAAAATTTTCTAAGATGCTGCTCAATGACCAAGTCTTACCTTTGCCATAATATCAGCATATGACATATAGAGATGGTCAACATCAAGTTTACTGTAATGATACAGCACATAATGGGGATCAGTGAGTCTCACTATGGAACACAGGTGAGTTACAGAAGGAGCAAGAGGCTCTTACGTCTTTTCTGTGAGAGCTGTGCGGCTGAAATGAAGAATCAGCTGATGAAGGGGATCAGGCTTTGTCTCAGTCTCCTCTTCCTCTTCCTCCTCTTCCTCCATGGCTTTCTAATTAATGGAGATAACATGAACCATGACAAAAGCCTTGGTATAAACTGTGCATTCCACTAATAACCGGTAGTATGGTTCAGAATTAAAGGAAGCATGGCTTACCGATAAGTCGTCAATCATCTTGTCCTCAAATGAGTAACCTTCAGTCTCTAACCAGTTACGCTTGTATGCATCTAAGAACATATTGGTTGCCCTGTGCCTGTGAGAAAAACAGGTCAGTGAGACTTATTTAGGGTGGGTTGTAAGGACTCATGAAAAGCTTTCAGATTTTATTATAAATATTTTTGTTTGTTTGTTTTGTATGAAGGGCATCATTACGTGGGGATGTTGTACAGGGGTGTCATCCTGAAACAGGCCACCACGGCCCTCCGACGCTGTTTGGACAGAAGTTTGTGCCACACCATTTTCTTTGACTTGAAGGGATGCTCAGTCTTAAACAAGAAAAAACACTTGCTGAACAAATGTTTCCTCAGAATGTTTCTCTATATTTTGCAATTATTTTTCAAACAATTAGCCTACGACCAACAACCAAATAATGCATCCACCTTGTATACAGTCATGTGTTTGCTTGCGGAGCACATGAGCTTAAACTCACCACCTCAATGTGGTAAAGGACAGCAGACACCTCCTGCACCCGTTTCACCACCTTCTCAGGGTCCTCGGCATCTTCAGCCTTTCCAGACATCTCCTTATAAAGAGACATTTGCCAGCGCATAGCTGGGTCCTCCACCTGAAACACAAAGTCAGATTTACATAATACATGTATACTGTAGATATTTGAGAGGAATTCATATATTTCTCTTCTCTGATATGCAAACCAATTAAAAGGTCTACTCACTTTGCCTTGCATATGCAGATTGTTGTTCAAGAACTCCCTCACTTCTTCATCTGTATCTTTCTACAAAGAAAGAAACCGAGATTCAAGAGACATTTGTCATTTATTTGTTCATTCAAGACAATCAAAATATTCTGCGCTTTAGCAAAGAACAGTTTGCTGTCATGTTTTTAAGCCTGTGGAAAATTCCTAATGGAAAAAATTAACTAAACTCCACTAATCTTGACTAATGTAACTGTAGGAAGAAATCATCTTTCATTTCATTTACTATAAATTTAAATCACTAGATTCAGAAAAATTGAAAAATGTGCCAATTTTTCCATGTCTTTTTTTTACAGAGACTTGGTCTCAAACACATCAAAGTACCAGTGAGTATCTGATCTTGGCAAGATTGATGAGCTCCTGGTCTGCAGGTGAGCACATGTTGAGACCAATGGGAAGCAGTTTCTTTAACGCAGCCACAATAAGGGAAGTCTGCACAGAATAGCGATCCCCTCGCCGCTTCTTCTTGGTACGCTCCTGCTCTGATCCTCCAGACTGAAGAGAGAATAGAATGTTCAGACCAGTCCATCACTGTCTGGTCCTCACACATCAAAAATGTCCTTTTCAGAAAATCTTGTGATATGATGAGGCTCTTGAGAATATTTAACAGAAAACTAATGAAGTACAACTACTTTCAATACAAAACATAACAAGAAATTGACACAGTGAGATGATAAGCACCAAATGCAGAGTAACATTTTTTATTATATTACATCATGCTGATAAATTGAAGCAATGATTATGTGAATTATTCATCAGGTGAAATAAGGCAGAACAACAATATTTTTGTGTAAACATCAACTTCTGGTGGTACTTCATTGCTGCATCTGCATCTGCTAAAGTCATGACACACAATGCAGCCTCACTGTTAGTAGTGCAGTGGCCAGACAGGGCACATCCTGTCGACTGGGCAGCACACACAACAGCACAAGTCTGTGGGGTCAGCTCCATCGCCCTGGAGCTCTTCTCACACTCCTGTCCCAAGGCTGCCAAAGCTCATTACTGATTGTTGTCTGGCCTCATAGCACCCTCTCTGCCTTCAGTGCATATCCTGTATGTGTCTGTGTGTAGGTAAAAAGTGCATTTTAGGCAGAAAGAGGCCGTGTGATGACCAGGTAACAGAAGCTGACTACAGTAATGCCCATCTGACAGCCATGGAGAGGAGGTTTCCTTATATATATATATATATTGCAGCAACCATGTAAAACATGAATCAAACAGTGATTAGAAATTCAGTGATTTAACAATTTAATAGTGTCAATGAATTAGACATGGAGTGATGAGCCCAGTTAGTAAATATGATGACAGCTATCTGGTAACATCGAGCTAACTTAAGCTTCCCCACACAGACCCAGCTAGCTACATTTGCTGCTGATGGATCAAGCGAATCTAACGGTGACAGCAAGGGATGGTACAGCTTTTTGTTGAACACAAATCCAATGATAGTACTGAAAAGAGAAGAGTCCCTCAGAGCAGGAATCTTTACCACAAAAGCTGAAAAAAATCCAAGCGTCAGTGACAAAAGTTCAACATCGCAAGTGGCACAGTAGCATGGGCTCCACACCTGTCTCTGACAGATACAATCTAAAGGCAAAGTGTTTATTAATCAAACAAAAACAGGGTGATGGTGCTCGGCTGCAGGAGTGCACACTCCAAACTAGATACACAGCCGAGCGCCATGAAACCTCTCAGGCCACTACGAACTACAGCAAAGAGCTTTCATCAAGCCACTCCAGACCCCTACTCACACATACAGTATGTAGAGACACATAAAAAAAACAGACAGACCTGCCTAACACACGCACGCTCACTCACACGTTACTCAAATACAGTTGCAAACAGATCCCACTCATGGAAGGCATTTTTAATATATGCATTACAACTAAATCTACATTATACAGCGTATCACTCATAGATATGCATAAATCGAGACTATGTGTTTGCAGTCCTGCTTGTGTGTTCGTATGTTTGTGAATATCGAGGTCTGTAACAAGTGGGGCAGTCCATGGGAGAGCTTGATGAAATGCCTCCCCAAACTCAGGGTGCCATGCGATCAGCACAGCGCTCGTGCACAAACAGTCTAACCTCTCCATCTCCGGCCTAGTGGCCCAGCGTCCACCCCCGACACAGGATATAAGGAAAAAAAACAATTAGCAACACTCCTATTACTGCCTAGACACTATATACAGCCACTTACATTGTCCTGGAAGAGGATGTTATGAGTTACGTAATAGTGTATTTCTCTGGCTCTTATAGAATATGATGTTATTTACAAAATAATCATTTACCTGACATTTTTATCCATAGCAACTTAAAGGAAAGAAGGAAAATGGCAGCTGAGATCCGATCAAGACTGGTTATCTTTTATATGTATCTACTTGCAGTGGGTGGTGTTAGTGAAATATTAATGATCAGAGTTTAGTGTCTTAATGAGTTACAACCCAAGATATGGAGTAAGTGAATAAAACACTGTAACAGGCTACGTATAACACCTATTTGTCTGCATGTCCCCTCTCACCTTGCTCATCTTGCTCTTACTGTCAGCAGTCAGGAAGGACATATTATTGATCTCATTCATCACCACAAAGTTCTGCTCCTCCCTCTTAAAGTTCTGTAATGAATAACACAAGACAAATGCTAGACCGCAAAGAACAAACAAAAATCACAATTAAAAAAAACTGTAAAGACCGCAGAACTCACATGGGATTTGGACCAGAAAATAAAGACCTCTCCCACCATCCTAAAAAGGTCCTCTGCATCTGGGTCTGGACAGGTCAACCATCTCGCCCTACAGACAAAGACAGAAATAACAGCAAAGTACTGTACTAACTCAAATACTTGAAGCTGAAGTGTGTGAAGTATGTGAGTCCTAGCCAAGATTCAGTTACTTTATTACAACTGACTGGGTTTACTTTTGACTGAGAGGGAATGAAATTATATTTAAGCTGAGACTTTAAGATGTCTGTAAGCTGCCCCCACCAGCAGCAGTACAAACCAATGCCACATATCTCATTTTCCCACTTACCAAAGATTACCATCATCATCAGTTTAGTCCCCACATCATATACTGTAATAGTGCTTTGAAAGAAGACCCATGCTCTCTGATTCTAAGTGACTAAAGAGAACTGTCAAATTTTAAGCACTAATCATTTGTCAAGGCACCAGTACAGTCAGGTACCTGTTATTGTCCACGTAGCGAATGAGCAGAGGGTAGAGAGCATACAGGTCCCGACACAGCACAGCAAACTCATCTCGGATGGTCCCATTTTCACTGTCCACCTCTGTCTTGCCCTCCATGCGCAGGTGTTCCTCCTCAGCCACCACCTTTCCTGCGCGCTTCTTCAGCTTTTCCATAGTGGGGATGAAGTGGGATTTAAGCATCTCTGGTTTAGCCCTGCTGACAATGGGTTGGGCGAACACTGGACAACGGGTATACAGGAATTAACAGCAGTCAGCAGTAACAAGACTGAGCATAGTTTTCTCCCAATATGAGATGTACAGAATGTGACAATGTAGCTGTCTAAGCTGCAGAATACACATACTGCTTAAATAAAGCTATCTCACATCATCCAAAAGCATTTTGGCTTATTGTGAAGCTTCTGCTTGCTGACCTGCCAACCTCTTCATCCAGGAGGCCTCATCTATACCCAGGTTGTTAACCACAATCTTCATGATGCTACCCAGCAGTTGGTTGAGATGTTCAGAGGTGACAGAGGTGCAGAGCTGGCCCTCATGCTCAGGGAAACTCTCTGGGCCCCTCTCCCACCAGCGTGGGAGGTAGTTACACAACATGGGCAGGGTGATCTCAATCACATGGGGCATTTCAGTGTAGCGGGCCCCAGACTCAGCCAGGTCACGGATCTCTTTCATCAGGACATCCAGCTCTGGGATGTCAGTGCACAGCTCCTCCACTTGGTTGGGAAGACCCAGGACTGAGGAAAAAGACGGCAAACAGGCAAAATAAAATATAAGAAAACAGTTCATTATTAACTCTTCCTAATAATGTAATACAGTATGTGTAAAATAAAATGTAATTTGCTAGGGAGAAAAATATGACAAAATGCTAAAACACACTGGCTCTCTCTCTGGGAGTCTTGGTGGTGTAAACAGAAAACATGTTGAACTCATTCAGCTCTGGCTCAAGGTAGGCCACTGGCATAGCAGCTGCTAAGTGGGCCAAGCACTCCCCAAGAGCTGGTCGCTGCCTGCACAGGACAAAGATACCACAAAATCCTTACAGAACGTCTTCATAAAATCAAGTAAGAATCAATGCACAATTTTAAAAATCATAAATTAAATGTTTTTGCTGTGATTCAAAGGTCTAAGGATCTGCTTTGAGCTAAAAACATTACACTTATTTAATTTAGTTACATATAATTGCAATTTGGTGAAGAAAACCTGTTTTTAGAGTTTTATAGATCCAGAGATATCTCAACTCACTTCTCTACATGTGGAGTCTTCACAGTGCCCAAAGAATAGATACTGCACATTAAACGATAGCAGGATATTTGCAAGTCATCCACTGGGGATATAGAAAAGAGAGGTATTAGATCAGTTTTGTTACAGTCCTCTGAAGGGCAAATGACAAACCAGTAATTCAACATGGAGAAGCAGTTCGCTCACATATGACGTCATCTCCAAACTGGTGCTGGGCAATGTGGTCAAACAGTGAAGTAAGCACTGGCAGCAGGGCAGTGGTGGTGTAGTTGATATTCTGGGACACACCCTTAACCTACAGGGACACGCAGACACACACAATACAGATATCACCTCACAAGAAACATGAATAAGAGTAAAAAAATGCAGGATGGTGACTTCTATGACCTGGTTGCGACTGGACACTTTGCCCAGTTTTAGATTCTCAACCATCTTTTCAATGTCATCTGCAGCACTCTCAAAGAACTGACGCAGGCCAGCTTTCACAATCTCAGGACCTGATTTCATAACAGTCCTTGAAAAGAAGGACAAATAAATAGTATAATAATTTCAGATGGCTACTTTCTGTTTTTGGTGCTGGGGATGTGATGTGAATACACTGACAGTTACCTGGCATCCAGTGATCGTGACAGAATGTGCAGACAGTTTACCACTGCACCTGCATCCGTTCCTGAAATCAGCATAACAAAGATGTGTTGTCAGATTCATCCTTCTGTGTAAATCAACTCTCTACAAGAGCTCTAAGTGTAAAAACCAGATTTACACATAACAGGAGAGAAATGACTCTTGAAACGGGGCACACAGTTACTGCAGAGAGCATGTTAACCCAAATTACATTAAACCCATTCATTCTTACTAATTACAGATACTGTATATTATATAAGTAAGAATTTAAACAGGTAATTATGGAATGTTTGAACTATGTACTGTATTCTCTATTAAAAACTGCTTTCTTAAGTGTATTTCCACCATTTTGCAGTTTGATTTGTGTACTTTTTAAGCGATAGATATTATAGTGTTGCAAAGGTGCAAAGGGCACAAGTTCAGAGAGAAGCGGTTGCCAGTGTCTGGTGGCCTCTGGTTACATCTGTAAAAGACACTGACTATATATATAAAGACACATGGTGGTGAAGGAGAAGAAAGAGGATAAAGCATGTACTGCCTCATATAAATTAGAAGGTGAACACATTGCAAAGCTGTGGTCCAATACCATCTGTGGATGCCTGACACCACCTCATTCATGCTCAAATCACTATCATTTTGTGAATCTAGGAATCTGAGTCTAGGTTTTAAAAACAAAGAGACAACCTTTAAAACACCAGTTCGCAGAACACATCAAAGCCAAGCAGAAGCTGAACTAAAGCGAGAGAAGCATCATATGAGGCGATCCAGTCAAAAGGGAGGAGGGAATGAGAGCATGGGAGGATAGACTAAATGTGATCCAACACTGATTAGTATATAAATGAGAAGGTGGAGGCAGGAAAGATCTGTAGAAACAAAAGACATCAGACAGGAAAACAGAGATGGTGACAGGGCATAATGCCACCATGCAGATTCCTTACCAAAAAGAGATACTCTGTGCCTCACCAAAGCAGCCAACTTACAGAAGATACTAAGGTAGGAGGAGAAAAGAGGAAAGGGAGGGAGAACGGTAAAGGGAAAAGATGTTTGAAGTGATAAAGAAATCAAATAGGAGATTAAAGAATAAAGAAAATTGCACAATAGGAGAGAGATGAAATGTGAAAGAGGGAGAGGACAGACACTATCACATGAAAGTACTATACTAAAGGAAAGGTTCATGGTGGAGAATCCAAGTCATAATTCAGAGAACAAATCAGATTTTTGAATAAACTGCACATACCTTGCAATCATCTCCTTCTCCTTATTGGAAGAATGCCCTCCACTACCCAAGACTTTGGCAGGTGTGGAGAGGAAGTATAGACAGTGATTCTTGAAGTACTGGTTTACCAGTGGCAAGAGAATCTGTAAAAGCAACCCAATATAAAATATTAATATCATAAAATGCCATTAAACAGGCCCTGCCTTCATGTGCTCATGTATGGAGCTACAGGGAAAAGACAGTGTTGAAATCGGATATTTTGAATCCATACTCACTCTGACGTGAGGTTCTATTACAACCCAAGCCCTCTTACTTTCCTGTTAAATACAACAAGGAGAGAACACAATGATGCACCAAGTAGCTCACCTTGGCAAAGAATTTGATCTCTTGTTCATGTGGTGATTTCTCCACTCTACCACTGCTAACCACGGCCTCTGTTAAAAACAAAACAAAAAACAAGTGAGCCTTTAGTCAAAAGGCACATGCTGGCACCAGAAGAAAATGCAAGAGAAAATAATGAGGACCAGCCGCCTCTCAAACGACATTACCAAGATGTGCAATGAACTCCTGGGCGATGTCCATCCATTTAAGAAGTTTCTGGAGAAAGCCATAGGCAAAACGCTTCTCAATAGAGGAAATGTCCTGCTCCATGTCTTTCAGACCCCTAAGGATGGAGAGAAGAATGAGTAAAAATTAAACAGGAACAGAACTATTGTAAGAAACACCAAACTCAAATAGTGAAATGTCCTGCGTACCGAGTCACAGCATATCCATTGAGTTGGAGGAACTTGAGCAGGTCCTGGGCCTTCTCCCTGTCCCTGGCCTTCTCCTTAGCCGTCAGGGTGTCATAGGGCACAAGTAAAGGATGGGTGCCACCGCCTGTCAGGAGCACATCAATCATTTTTGGAATCAAAGATTGTAAAATACCAACATGCTATGTTGGGTATTAGAAATTCCTCTTACCTTTGGCCTGTAGCTCTAACTTCTTCTTCCTGCCCCAGGTGTTGTGATAATTCTCAGCCAGTTGCTCAGCCATAGACTGTATTGAGAGTGTAAAAAAACAAATCTCTCAGGCCCCTGGAAAACACCTCATCAAAATACAAAACCTGTCAGTGCTGTGAAAGAGCAGTGACAGGTGAGAGAATGATACAAACCTGCAGCTCTCTGGACAGGGCCATGCATGAGATGTCAATTGGCTGAGGGCTGTAGCCGTGACTGGGATCGTAAGTCGCCTGAAGACAGAAAACACACCATGAACAGTGGCTCTCCATTTCAGTTTTATGGACCTTTGGAGGACTCCATGAGGTTCCAGGAAAAAAATGGACTGCTTCAATTTCACTATTGTTTCACTCATTTAATTAAGACCAAGGAGAGAACGTATACAACTGTTGATATCAATGTATTATTGAGTCCCACGTCATCCCCACTATGAGATCCATCATTGATTTTGTGCACTCTTATGTAAGAACAAGCCATACTTGTATAACCAAATAGGCAGCAACACATCAATAATTAGTTGAACTGAATGTTTTTTTGTTTCCTTTTTAATCTCCGCTCTCGTACCTGAGCAGTTTGGGAGATCTTTCGTGTGCTGGTGGCCTTCTCGGCTTCATCCCCATCCCTGGTTTTCTCCAAGGTCCACTCCCATGCCAGCATAGCTTTGATGGATTCTTTGATGGGCCAACGATAGATCTCCTTGTCCTGAAAAAAAGAACAAATTTATTTGTGAAAATCTCAAAAGAAATGGAACTACAGAAAAGTTCATGGATCAGGAATAATAATTTAGCATTACTGGCTCCATTAGGATCTGAAAACTGCTAAAAAAAAAGTTTAGTTACAGCTAGTGCCTGTGTGCAGATGATGAGGATTCAGAATAGACAGAGAGGGACGAATCATTACCTTTTCAGAAAACGTTTTGTATGGCCGGAGCATTGGGTGAGTCTTAGCATTCTCATCTAACGCCTCTCCGTAAGTCCAGTTGTTCTGAATCTGAAAATGGATTTAACCATTGAGGGAGTCATTACAATGGATTTAGATAAAATACAGGGATTTGATTTATATCTAATTTTACAGTTTTCACAACTGACCTTTTCAAAGGCCCACTTGTCATGAGTGTGCTCTGCGTACTTGTTAATGAAGGCATCTAGTCTCTCTGGGATGATGGTGCTGGGAATAAATGACTTCATATTTAATATTGCACAAGTTATGATTACCATCAACTAAACCTAAATTTTGGAATGTTTTTGTTTGCTTGTAGTAAACTGTGCATTTTCCTGTGAGTGTCCAGGTTATGTTTCACCTCATGTTTTATTCACAATTACAGTGTTTTTTTAATGAAAAAGAGATGCTGATGTACATTCATCAATAATCAAGGTTTAGAAGATCATTGCAATAACAGAGTAAAAATATTTTACTTTGAGACTATAGTTAAAGAATATATCACACAATGTGGCAACAAGAGTTCAAAGGAGATTCTTGTGTAATGATTTATAGCTTGCTGTTGTATGTTTATAGCAGCACTGTGCATTAAAAAACGTTATAATTATATGTTTAACATGTACTGTTGTGTAATTATAGTGTTCTTGTATAGGGCACTGTAAACTATTTTTGTACTGGTCTTGTACTTTCCTCTCGGTCCTTACTTGGTGGTCTCCACTGGTTTGGGATCAAAGTTTCCTTCAGCATCCACAGAGGCCTTTTTCTCAGTGTGTGAGGAGTAGCTGGCATCCACATAGTCAGGAGGTATGGCTCCTGCTATGGCACAAATGCAGGGCATGGCGATCTTGAAGAGCTCTGCATCAAATTTCTAGAATTTGGATGACATCAGAGAAGTCACGTTAATAATGAGTTTTAACCCTGTTGCACTATGGAATGACATCAGGAGATTCATCTCTTACTTTGTGTGCCAAAGATTCAAAGATTCCCCAAAAGAGTTTACGAGAAAGATGCAGCTCTTCCTCTGAGGTCACCCCAAAATTAGCCCATCCATTAGGCAAACAGTAATACTTCCAACAGCGTTCATAGTGATTCATCAAAAGCTGAAATAATCAAGTCACAGAGTTAAATTCAGCAGAGGACAATTATTTCTATATAGCAATCATTTCACAAATACTGTAAAGTAATATAAGTATTTATAATGCATAATCTTCTTCTACATTTACTATCCAGAGTTCTCTCAATCAATGTTTAAACTGATAATCAGCATGTGTGTATACCTGTAACATCTATTCTTTATTGTTTAGTTTAATTTTATGTTCTTATAAAATAAAATAAAAATAAAACATTAAAATTTAAAGCAGGCAAACCTTAAGAGGCATCTTTGCATATTCATTGAGAATGGGCACATCAAACACCAGCCGTCTAAGCAGATGCTGCAGCATGGAGGGCCGAATGTACCTGGGAAAGTCATCAAATTGCTTCATTAGAAAAAGCAATAGTTTAAAACTCAAGTTCAAGATGTCTCGTAAAAGAGATAATGTATTAAAAGAGTCTGTTTTAGTACTGACTTGACGAGCGACATGAGACACTCCTCAATAACATCCCTCTGGGCCTTTGTAAGGGCTCGACCACGAGACAGACGATAGATGGTGTGGAGCGTGGAGTCGATCATGATGGCACGGTGGTCTGTCCCAGCAAACAACGGGGCACACCTGGTGAGCAGAGGCAGAACGGCTGAACAGAGGTAGCGGCTCAGTGCCAAAGCCATTTCAGTTGTACTGAATGCCACCTATAATGAGAAGAAGAAACAGAAAAACAATTTACACTGAGTGCCATACTTTGGATATAGGTGGGCAATAAAATCAGAGCAACATGCAAACTTGATGTGAAATGTGTCTTCTTCGTCTTTTCCTACTCACCGTGTCAAGAGAAGCTGCAGCTCTCATGTCAGGCAGGAAGCCAACCTCCAGCACATGAAGCAAGAAGTCCTGGTTATCGATACCATACACTCTATCAAGGAACAGCACCATGGAGGCCTTGTGGTCTGGCACAAAACTGGCTGACATCTTGGGCTCAATAATCTGATCATCTGTGGTTTGGACACAGGAAATCATATGTGGAGGAGGATACCAAAATATGCCAAAATCTCCACATCATGTTCACACCCTCTTCAGGATGAGCGGTACAGATAATGAATGGATGGATGCTAACTTGTATCTAACCTTTGCCATAAGCAGGAATCTGCACAGGCAAGCTGATGACTCCCACCAAGTCTTCTATGGGCACCAGAGACCTCAGGATGGCCCTTATTCTTAGAGCTTCGCCCTTGCCTGCTTGGATTAGCTGTAGATATGATCATTTAACACATGCTGTAAGAAACTAGCCCCTGCCCATACTGGTCCACTATTCTAGAAGACTTAAGAGAAATGAATGGTGTAAAAAAGCTCTTCTACTAACATGCAGCTCAGGGGCACAGCGACCCAGCAGATCAATAAGGGCTGAGTAGAAGGACATGATGGCATTTCCCAGATGCACACGGTTCTCCTCCTGCTGTTCCTCACCACCAAACCTGCCAATCAGCAACACACCAAAGCAGCTTGATCATACTGTGTAAATAAAATTTTAAAGGTGAATAAGCCTGGTTAATTATCAAACCCACTGCACTTACATGAAGCGTCTATCTTTTTTGACAGTGGGTCCATCCCTTGCTGGATCCTCTGAGATCTTGATGGCCTCTTCCATTGCAGCCAGCAGACCATTCCCGCCCTCTCCTCTCAGGGCTGGGCCAAAGCACTCGGGCCGACGGATGAGTAGACGGACTACAACATTAGCGTTTTCCTCCACGCTCTCTCCTGTGAGCAGTAGTGGTGCAAATATTAGTGACAGTTACTCATAACTGAAAACTACAAATGTCATGATTATAGTAGAGTGCACACCATTAACAAAGACAGCAAAGCGGAGGAAATCCAAGTATCTCTCTCCTCCACAGGGGTTCCAGCCGATGTCAGGGTAGCCCTTAGACAGGAGATTTGGACACATCTGCAGTCCGCATCCTGCCAAGTATGTCACCACCTACATCACCATGCATGTGATGGATACCAAGAGAGATTATAACAAGTCCACTGTGCTCTTTTACAGTATGGTTCTCTTTGCTTGTCATTTTTTATTTTCTCAAACCATTTCCAGGTCTTGCTCTTGCAAAGCCAAGGCCAACTCATTGTTGTCAATGCAGGAAGCCGCAGCCACATCCAGAGGGGTTGATCCACGCATGCCTGCATATGTCAGACAAACACAGCAAATTTATAATCGTTTGATGCTTGATAATTACGGGCCCTGATCTTTACATCACAAACAATTTTTATATATTCTAAATGAATACAGATACAGTACATCTACTTTTTTAAATAAAAAGTTGCCTAAGGTACTTTAAACTAAATACAATAAACACTGTGACAGACACTGACCCAAGCCAATGCCGCTGTTCTGTAGCAGATAGCAAAGATGGTCAAACATGGAGCGCTGGTTCTGTCGGCTGATACGACAGAAGTAACACAGGAAACGACAGCAGTTGGTCACCATTTGAGGGAATCGAATCTCCTAGAGAGAAGAAATAAAAAGACACATTCTCTCTACTGTGGGATGAACCATATACACCAATGACGCACATGCCAACAGTGAAGTCAAGTGTCCAACAAGCCCCTCAATTAAACTGGCTGGAGTGAATAAGATCAGACTAGAGGGAAGATAGACTAAACAATTAATCATGAGTTACCTTTGAGTCTCCCCCTCCACCCAACACATTGACCATCACCTCCATGACAGTCTCATGCATACCAAGAGCTCTCATGAGATTGGGGTGCTGGTAGAAGACCTTGTTGTTCATGATGTTCCTGAAAAAACAGACAAATACACAAGTTGGAATCACATTAGATTTCTTTATTCAGGTAATTTGAAATGGTTGATTTCAGGAAGAGCACCAGTGTAGTTAAATTAACCAACTGACTGGATAAACAATTAGTGCAGGAAGTACAACTATCTAATATGTTACTGTCATGAAAATATGATATCAATATATCAATATTGCACTCCACATCCCTCTCACAACAGATGTGTACAGAGTACACACCGTCACCCCCACACTGACCCGATGCTCTGAATCATGAGTCGTTCCTCCTCTGGGCCCATCTGGACGATAAGCAGTGAACGTATCTGTCCCAAACACTCGAGCAGGTCCATTGTGTCCTGAACAGACACGGCGTTGATGGCGTAGGCTTTGGGCAGAGCTCGAATCAGCTCACCGAGACCATCGTACTGCCTGTGGAGCAGACTGAACATCAGCCGTACCAGCTCGGGATTCTGGATGAACGACTCCTGGGCCCAGTGAATCATAGTGTGGGAGATCAGTTCCTGAACGCTGCCTTGATGACGTGGACACAGAGAGTATCATCAATTATATTCGACTATAATGAATGTATAAAAATTTATTTGGATATTTTTAGATTAGATTAGATTAGATTAGATTCAACTTTATTGTCATTACCCATGTACAAGTACAATGCAAATGAAATACAATTTAGCATCTAACCAGAAGTGCAATAACAGCAGTGCAGAGTGTGCAGTATCTACAGCCTGTACAGCCAGTACAGTCAGTACTAATTTACCGATAGATATGTAAAATTGATATTTACAGTAAGTTCTATAAGGTAATAAACAATATTTTTGGACTAGATGTTTGGTCTATGCTCTGTACACTCAGTGAATATCTTTTAATATGAGCATTGTCCCTTTCCATTTTCTAAATGACTAGGGTAGAAAAGAAGTACAAAGTACACACTCTTTAAGTACAGAGGTAATTTGTGAAAAATGCCAATCAAGCCCTTCAAATGTAAAGGTATTTTAGCTGTCAAGCTTACTGGGTTTTGGCTCCTCCTCAACCTCGGGCTTCTCATTCTCCTTCTTCTTGTGCAAGCTCTTGACCTTGTCTACCAGACTAAGAAGTCTGCCCCTCAGTGAAGTGTCAACCTCCTGCTCTTCTGTCTCCTCTTCAATATGTATACCTATGTGGAAAATGGGAATACAGTACCTTAAATACACCGTAAAATCACATATATAAAAAAGCATGAGGTCATTCAGACCTGCAAAATAAAACATAAACAGGATCTTTAAAGAACTTCGCACCACAGTGAAGCAGGAGGTCATTGTGGAACTCTGCCAGGGTGTTCTGCACCTCCTCAGGCACCGGACAATCATCATCATCTCCACTGTTCTTACAGTTGGTCAGCAAAAGAACCTTGGAAAGGAGCGCAGAACAACAGCCACATCAGCATGTTGTCTGTTTTGTTTCTTATTATTTCACATAAGGCATTTTTATACATTTCCTGAGGTCCCTTATGGTCTTTTGCAAAGCAGAATTTGTTTCTTTGTTCTTCTTATGTTTTCCATGACACATATAACATGTACTATATAACTCAAGAGAGAGACATTAACCAAATCCAATTTACATTCAAACCCCATAACATATATTTGATAAGTCTGAAGACTTAAAATAATTAGTACCTGATCTTGTGGTGGTGAGCGGAACTCTCGGGTTTTGCGTGCAGTCTCAGCAGCTGTCATGTTGAAGGCTCTCATTAACTGGTTGTAACGAACCCGTTGGTTGTCCTGAATATCATGGACAAACTGGTCTGAATAGGCTACAATGGCTTCCACTCTGTGTCGCAGCTCACAGTCACAGAAGTACTGCAGGAGTGTGCACATCTAAGAGAAACAAATAAAATAGCAACAAAGGTTTAAGATGAATAATTTGTAAAAATGTTCCATATATTTAAAGGATATGATTTTATAGCAGTCTTTGTTTAAACATAAGATTAACCTGCAGCTTGACTGACTCCGGCAGTTTCATCTGCAGCAACCCTTCCTCCAGACCCTCCTCATCATCTTTTGCTTCTGCCCCCACTGCCTCTGCTTCCTTCTCCTCCTCTGCTTTCTCTCCATCTACTTTTCCTTCTCTCGCCTCCCCCTCCTCCTTAGGCTCTGCCTCTTTGTCCTCAGGCTCCCCTTTCTTTAAATCTTTAAGCTCCTCCTCTTCTTCGTCACCAACCCCTTCATCCTCAAGCTCGGCCTCTGCTTCATCTTCTGTTTCCTCCTCCTCCTTCTCTTCCTCACTTTCTCCTTCAGCAGCTCCACCCTTGTCAGCTTTCTCTATCTCTTCTTCCTCCTCTTCCTTTCCACTGAATACATTGGGATCAATCATCTTGAGGATGTGCTTGGTGTCTTCGTCATTGAAGATGCCCATAATGAGCAGTGTACTGATCAGCTTCAGGATTGGGACAAAGTGGAACTCTACACTGCCTCCTACAGGATCCCTCATAGCCTGGCTACCATCCAGCACAGCCTCTGTTAACATGCTGATCGCCTCGGTCTTCAGCTCCTGTAGTGGAAAGAAGAAAATATGCAAAAGGTAATGTAAGTTTTATTTTACTTTAGTACCACTGCAACCTGTCTCTTGTTACTTACCTGTAGAGGAAAAACTGGACTAAGGGTGTATAGATCAGGGTCTGTACCAACAAAGTTGATAGATGAGAAATGCAGCTTGGGCCGTAAGCAGGTGGTGAGGCCAACACCAGGGAGAGAATGGGCTTTCTTTGCATCAGGATACAAATTGATGCTGAGAGTCTCTTCAGTCATGGGGACAATAAACTCCTTGTTGGTGGCTAGCCGTGCCCGTTTGGCAGACTCCAGGTGGATGCTGATGAGCAGGTCATAATAGCCACTACGAAGAGGTCCAGGAAGGTAGGTGTTCTCAATGGCATAGAAAAGCTGGGATTCATCCACATGGCTGCACAGGGCATGAGCCACGCGGTTGTTTCCAAGTGCGCACACAGCACAGTAGAGCATAAGGGTATGGTAGTGGAATTTCATCAGATCCTGACACTCTGACAGCTCCAGGATGTCAATACATCTGAGAAAAAAAACACAGACTCCAAGATCAATCAAATATCAGTGCCTACTGGGCTACTTCCAGGAGTACATCACAAATATCAAAATCAAAACAAATGCTTTGTAGAAACTGTAAGTAAATCTATATCATGTTTGCAAAGCAAATACCTACTTTCAATTCCTCTTCAATTTTATTAGTCACTCTTGACAAACTGAGACAGAAAACAAGAACATAAACCCCTGAACTTTACAGCCTTTACAGCTGATACAAGTTGGGCTCTGTACAAAAGCATTTGACAGGGGGTTGTAATTAACAGGATTACTCTGATCACACAACTGACAAAATATATTTTTTAAATATTGAAGGGGTATCGAATCGGCTCCTAACCTGCAAATTCTTCACCAAAACCAAGTTTAGTACTAGGAAATATTAGGAAGCAATTACTAACTTCCACACTGCTTGCTGGGCCTACTGTATCTGACCTGTTCTCCTCTGGGATGTGCAGTGCCATCATGGTGAGAGGTTCGGTACACTCCACCATCCAGCCCAACCGCTCATTCACTTTGCCCACCTCCGGGTTGAGGAAGTGATTGGGCATTCGACTCCAGATAACTGGAGTCAGCATCTGGACATCCAACCTGGGAGGGCACTGTGGGACTGGATTCTTACGCTCACTGTGGAACATGGCTGCAGAGATGGGCATGATGTTCTGACACAACAGAGAATGACAGAGAAGGGTAGGTTTAGTCAAGTGCAGAAAAAAACAAGCACACAATTAAATTTTAACATGAGAGAAAACAATAGATGGAAGTCAGACATGAAAACAACAATACCAGAAAAGCATCTTCATGTGTCAATATGAATGGGGAATAATAGGAAGTAGGGATGAATAATAATTTAAACAATGGTAGCTGGAGAAACATGAGCAATGAGGTAGGTTTTAACCTTGAGTTTGCCCAGCTCCAGCTGTGCCATGTTCTGACTGGAGGGCTGAATGAAGATGGCAGGAAACAGCTTGGTATTGGGCTCCACCTGAAACAAAAGAATTCTGGTTTTAAAAACTCCACAATAAGATAACTCATCAAGACGTATTTAAAGTTGAGTGTGAAATGCAACCTATACTGTATAAATAGTGTTTACCTGGTAGAAAGTGTTAATCTCCTTTCCATTGGCTGTGAAGGTCATGAGACCAGTTGCCAGGTCGACCAGGCAGCCAACCACCATGTCTTCCTGGCTGAAGCGTGTCTGCTGATTGCTGACCAGGTCCCCTCCCCACACCATGTAACAGTTACTGTGCTTCATACTGCAGAGAAGCATGCTGCTATGTTAAAACTCATCTCAACTCATTTCTAATAAGGCATTTGAAACATTATGTAAAGCACAAAGAGACAATAACAAAACAAAAGGACATGGAAATGGAAATGGAAAATAACACACACAGATAACCAGCTCTTTACTAAATTAACTGATTTGATGTCCCAGGGGAAGCTTCTGTAGTCTGTTATTGTTTTAATAGTTATTTGTCTTTAAAGCTAAATAAATCCAGGTGTTGTCAGTATACCAGTAAATTTTGGCATATGTGGCATAATAAAAACACATAAATGGACAAAAGAAAGGGGCCAAGTATTGATCCCTGGGGGACACCACATAAACTAAAAGATCAACTTTAAGTCTTCACTATTACTATTGCTTGGTTTAATAGCCAGGATACTTAGTTCCAAGAGTCAGGTTGGAAATGAAAGGCTGCTAAGCAGCTCGACTCAATTTTCTGTCTCTATATACATTTCTCTCTGTTGTTTGTCTTTGCTGCCTTCAGCAAGTAAATAAAACAAATTATATTTCAGAGCAAGATTAAAGAAATAACAACAATAGGAAGTTTTGGGCACTGATCTGCTAAAAAAATAATTCATAATTTACAGTGGGTACGAAAAGTATTCAGACCCCCTTAAATTTTTTCACTCTGTTATATTGCAGCCATATGCTAAAATCATTTAAGTTTATTTTTTTCCTCATTAATGTACACACGGCACCCCATATTGACAGAAAAACACAGATTTTTTGACATTTTTGCAGATTTATTAAAAAAAGAAAAACTGAAATATCACATGGTCATAAGTATTCAGACCCTTTGCTGTGACACTCATATATTTAACTTAGGTGCTGTCCATTTCTTCTGATCATCCCTGAGATGGTTCTACACCTTCATTTGAGTCCAGCTGTGTTTGATTATACTGATTGGACGTGATTAGGAAAGCCACACACCTGTCTATATAAGACCCTACAGCTCACAGTGCATGTCAGAGCAAATGAGAATCATGAGGTCAAAGGAACTGCCTGAAGAGCTCAGAGACAGAATTGTGGCAAAGCACAGATCTGGCCAAGGTTACAAAAAAAATTTCTGCTGCACTTAAGGTGCCTAAGAGCACAGTGGCCTCCATAATCCTTAAATGGAAGACGTTTGGGACGACCAGAACCCTTCCTAGAGCTGGCCGTCCGGCCAAACTGAGCTATCGGGGGAGAAGAGCCTTGGTGAGAGAGGTACAGAAGAACCCAAAGATGACTGTGGCTGAGCTCCAGAGATGCAGTCGGGAGATGGGAGAAAGTTGTAGAAAGTCAACCATCACTGCAGCCCTCCACCAGTCAGGGCTTTATGGCAGAGGGTCCCGACGGAAGCCTGTCCTCAGTGCAAGACACATGAAAGCCTGCATGGAGTTTGCTAAAAAACACCTGAAGGACTCCAAGATGGTGATAAATAAGATTCTCTGGTCTGATGAGACCAAGATAGAACTTTTTGGCCTTAATTCTAAGCGGTATGTGTGGAGAAAACCAGGCACTGCTCATCACCTGTCCAATACAGTCCCAACAGTGAAGCATGGTGGTGGCAGCATCATGCTATGGGGGTGTTTTTCAGCTGCAGGGACAGGACGACTGGTTGCAATCGAGGGAAGGATGAATGCGGCCAAGTACAGGGATATCCTGGACGAAAACCTTCTCCAGAGTGCTCAGGACCTCAGACTGGGCTGAAGGTTCACCTTCCAACAAGACAATGACCCTAAGCACACAGCTAAAATAACGAAGGAGTGGCTTCACAACAACTCCGTGACTGTTCTTGAATGGCCCAGCCAGAGCCCTGATTTAAACCCAATTGAGCATCTCTGGAGAGACCTGAAAATGGCTGTCCACCCACGTTTACCATCCAACCTGACAGAACTGGAGAGGATCTGCAAGGAGGAATGGCAGAGGATCCCCAAATGCAGGTGTGAAAAACTTGTTGCATCATTCCCAAAAAGACTCATGGCTGTATTAGCTCAAAAGGGTGCTTCTACTAAATACTGAGCAAAGGGTCTGAATACTTATGACCATGTGATATTTCAGTTTTTCTTTTTTAATAAATCTGCAAAAATGTCAAAAATTCTGTGTTTTTCTGTCAATATGGGGTGCCGTGTGTACATTAATGAGAAAAAAAATGAACTTAAATGATTTTAGCATATGGCTGCAATATAACAAAGAGTGAAAAATTTAAGGGGGTCTGAATACTTTCCGTACCCACTGTACATGTATGAAAGACTAACCTGTCATGTATGTTGCCTTTGTCATCTCCCACAGTAACAGTGGTACTGCGCACCTTGGAGAGGTCAAAGGTTGGATCATACTGGTGGTAGTCAGGAGTTACCCAGCCAATCCACACACCAGAAGGCTCCTGCCCAGCAAAGATCCTCACAGAATAGTAATACTGAAATTTTAAAAAAGATTATGGAAAAAGTAAGACTACTACAACAAGAAAACATCTGAGTGAAATATCTAAAAGCAGGAATATTGGAATATCTAAAGATACTATAACTTAAGTAGTGAAAACTAATACAAAGTCCAAATTTTTTGACTCTTTAAATCATGCCATTGATTTTTGCCAAATAGGAGTGATCAGTTGGACGCATGCTATAAATGTAGCATTAGCAGAGAAAGATGTTTAGCTCACAGTTGTGGTATTTTGGATGATCTCAGGGTCATCTCTGTCATCGGGGACTACATCTTCCATCAATCGTGGCACTGTTGGAGGGGCAGGAGGAGGGGCAAGAGGTGTCATGGCAGCCTTCTTAGCCTTGAAGAAAAATCTGATGATGTGCACAAAAGATAACATATATTTGATGATTTTTACAAAATGGACACATCTCTTTGCACCAACTAACTTCACTGCTGAATGACACAAGTGAAACCATGTAATTTCAGTAAACAGCATGTAGCACAGGCATATTTTTTAATGAAAACAAAAAAAAGAAAGGAAGTAAGGATGAAAACTGAGCTGTTGAGCCCATGGAATACTCTTAAGGACAGTTTGTAATTCAATAGCAAATTTTAAATTACCCCTGCAGGCTGAAAAAACATTTACATTTTTCAGCTCCACGGGTTCTCAATTAGTAAGGTTTCGACTCTCTTGTCTTACCCATAGTTTGTTTTACACAGAGGATGGCTGAATTCTTTTCATAATGACTTATTCTGCAGACTTGTTCCTGTTCATAACCTGCCAAACCTACCCCCTTTTCTTTCCCTTTTCTGACACAATGTCCTTCTCGTTTTCCACAGAGATTTCCTTAGGTACAGACGGCTCCTTCTTTTCATCATCCTGCTCCTTGCGGTTGGCAGACTTCTTCAGAACTTCAAACTCTGAGTCGGGCTCCACCACCACCACTTCCTCCTCGGGGATCGTGAGGGCATGGGTGAGAGGGGTGGTGCCCGCTGGGACCTTGAAGGTCTCATGGAACTGGACTGGCATGCTGAGCCTGAGAAACATCATATCGGTATTGGCGTTCTGCGAGCCAAAGGTCTTATGAGTCAGTTTCAGACAGGGGGCACTATCCACCGTCCCATCAACACGGGAGACCTGGGAGAAAATGTGTTTAAATATAAATACATTTGCTAGTCTTAAAATTCTAGCTTCATTAAACATGGAAAGTGTGTTTGAGTAGTTACCTCAATATGATTGTGATCTGTGGGTACAGGCACAAACTGCGGCAAACTTTTACTGAACCACATGGTAATATCTCTCTTCATATTGATGGCAAAAGGTTCAAATCCTTCCTGCAGGCCACAGATAGCAAAGTAGCGCAGGCTGCTGACGTTCTGACCAAGATTGATCCTTCCAACCTGAGATAGGCCCAGTGCACACACTGGGATAAAGCCTGAGGGGCAAAATCACAGGAAAGTAATTGGTAAAAAATATTTTCAAATTGACTTAAAGCTGTCCTGTAGCAACCAATAAGTTTTATGTGAAGAGATTCTTCTTTTCCCTTGCTGCTGCTACTACAAATAAGGTACTGTAAACTGACCATTAACTCTTACCTTCCCCAATTTCAATATCTTTGAAAGCCATCTCAGAGCCTGAGTCACTGATTAACATTTCTCCGTTGAGCGTAAACATGATGTTCATCTCAGTCAGGTCAATCATACAGCCGACTACATCACCAGACTGCCACTGGCGACCAAATGGTTCATTGCCAATGTGCCATCTTTGAGCCTAGAAAGGATTACATCAATTATTATCAAATTATCTATAAAATAAAACTTTCATGAACCCAACAAATAAACCTGATTTAATTCAATGGACAGTGATTTACCTGAGATGAACCTAAAGACGCAGACTAACCTTATTGCCATTAAAGACGTAGGCCAGTTCATCTGCTCCAAGTTCAGTGTCAGAGCGGACATTAGGACGTGCCCAGCCTACTCTCATCTCCCCTGTGGTCACTGCTTCAAACTCAAAGTACCATTTCCCTTGGGTGATAGCATATGTCTTCTCTGCCCTAAAGATTCGAACCTTGTCCCCACGGGTGTTCTCGAGGCCATGGGCGGCTGTGGGACAACATGGATTATAAGATTAAGAAGAACGGAGATATTGGAGATGCCCTGGGTGGAGTTAAATAACTTTGAAATCGCATGTTATTTTGTGTTCAACACGTTAACATGAGGTAAACTGACTTACTGCTCTCCTGGTCTGGAGGCTCAATGTTGTAGCCATAGCCAATGAGAGTGCGGACAGCGTTATTAACACTGTCTCGGTTTGTTTTCTTAGTTTTCTCGTCTAGCAGGTTGTAAGGTACCAGACGAGGGTTTCGCTTATTCAAGATGTCCTAGGAAGTGTTACAAAATAAAACTTGATGTAAAATTTAAGAAAAAAAATATCCTTAAAAGACTGTAATGGCAGCATGGCATAGCAGCTGCTGGATTACAATAAATGGACAACATAGATAATTTGGTTAATATGAATAAATTTAACTCAGACCAGGAAAGGATGGGGAAATGGTTACCTGCACAATACTGTAGGTCCATCCTTGTCGTACCCGGTCCCTTGCCCAAACATTATGCCCATTTTCTGCCAGTTTTTCAACAAGCTGGTTCTGGTTTGGCGTTAGTTTGACATGGTTTAGGTCAAGGGGGGCAGGCTTGTATCCATTACTCATCATATAGCTAAAGAAGAGACCAAAGGACATATGTAAATGCATAGAATTTACCACAGAAAGTTAGTTTACACTGCCAGAAATATCTTTTTTGCCATACGTCTTGGCCATCTTGATCTTCTTGAGATTCTCCTCTGCTTTCTCGTCACCCATACCAACATGGCAACCCAGCGCCAGGAGAGTCCTATAGGAATCAAGGACATAAGCATCACCAACAGTGTCCAAGGACATCAAATTCCTCCTCTGACCCTCACATCTTTCAAAATCAAACTGCTACAGAACCTTAACTACAAACTCACTTGAGAGTCTCTCCAGACATCTGCAGGTTGTAATTCCTCTCTGGTTCAGGAAGACTCTGGAAATCTACCAGACAAGGGTGAAGCTTCTTGTTGTCATCTCTGACCTGTGGAGAAGGTTGGCAGTAGATTACTAACTAGCATGACAAGTCTGCATTTTTAACACACTTGAAACAAGTATCACTTTTCTTATAGTGCTTATTACAACTGAAGACATAAATCAATGAAGACTTTTAAAAACTGATTAAAGAATTTAAGGAAAAGGAAAAAAACAAGTAATTTTTTGGAGAAAATTACACTAAATCACATTCTGGGTCCCTCTATTAAAACAAATTATGGTCTGATTTTTATTATAAAGTGAACACAGCATTTAAAAATATATTTCTGTAAATTCTCAAAAGCTCCAAAACATCTAAATCTGAGGTTGTCAAATCAATATTCCTCTACTGCTACTTCTGTACTGTAGTGCTGACTCCATACTCACACTCCCAAAGGTCCAGCCCTGCTCAATACGGGTGATAGCCCAGAGCTCATGAATATTCTCTGCCAGCTTCTCTCGGATGCGCTCCAAATGGGGAGGCAACACAATCTATGCAACAAGAGAAGTGAAACCAATCTACCACATACTTTAATGACATAATCAAATTCTGATGTTAGGTTTCAAGTTTTTACCTGGACAGTGTCCACTGGGCAAGGGGTGAATGAGGTGTGGGTGAGGGAAAGGGTGGGGCCCAGCAGGTTGCGCACGCCATCAAAGTCATGCTTATATTCCTTGATAGGCTCAATATGCATTCTCTCTCTAGGCAACAGAGCCTCATAACAAGGGGCATAGCCAGGTGGGGGCATGAACTTGAAGTCTCCATGACGACCACCAAGGAGGAACCGAGCCCTAAGGTGACAGAAACAGAGTTGATCCTAGTCTTTATCTATTTGAGAAAAAGGTCAGTATATAGTAAAGTCCGTTAGGGAAGCAGTGCCTTGATCTTTATAAAACTCACAATAAATAAAATACTGATTTAATTTCTGTGCCAGTTCCTGAGCCAGTGTTTCCCTCCCTGCTCTCATTAATTCACCATAAGTTCCATCTCAGCACTGTGAGGGATCATTACACACAGCAGCAGCAAAATCGTTTTGGGGGACACTATCGGTTTTAAAGAGATTATCTGAGCGCTTTGGAGATCATTTCAAGGATTTATATGCATTTATTGAATTCAATTAGAAATAATTAAAAGTTATGTAAAATACAGTATAGGACTGTTTGAAGCTTAGCTATAGGGAATATTCTGCCAGTTTTTATTCTGTATGACAGTCTCCTGTGAAAATATTAAATTAGTCAGAGAGGGCAATGGAAGGATTCTGGCAGTGTGTTCGCCCCCAGCCAGCATTATTACTATAATATTTTGCACTTACTTGACTCCAGCAGAGAAGCTGATGACAGGGAAGAAGAGGCTATCCACATTAAAGTTTTCAAACATGCCCTGAACCGGGTGGCCATTAATGCGGAAAGAGATAGTGGGCACGCTCAGGTCCAGACAGCAGCTTACAACATCATCAGCTGCCAGGGCGTGTGCACTGGGCGAAGCCACCTGGCGGGGTACAGTACCTGCATGGCAGAGCAGGGAGTGAGGAAGTCATTCAACAAAACATACAGCATAATGGTAAACAGCTCAGGAGATAAATTAGAGTATTCATCTTACCTGACCATAGATACAGTCCATCAAAGCCATAAGAGTAGAGGTCATCTCCCACACCGTTGCCTCCCCAGCCTTCTCCTCCTCCAGGGTAGGGGCTGTAGCCCTCAGTCATAGCCCAGCCCACACGCAGGTGGGTAGCCTGCGCCGTCACAAAGGGTTCCACGTAGTCCACCATTACCTCATAATACCACTTCTTATATTGTGTGGACCCCTCACATGTACCCAGGAAGATGTTGGGCCTTACACTGAGAACAGAAGAGGAAGAAATAAACAATGAACTTTACAGACAACAACAGTCAGCGTAGCTGATGGCTTAAAAAATGCTGCACATTTTTTATAAGAAAACTAAGTAAAAGACATGTTCGCCCTGACAATTAACAGTCTATATATCTGTTTATATACCAATAAATACCTGGTGGCATAGTTTACAATGTTGGACTGCAGTAATAGGTCTCGACCCGGAAGCAGGTTTTCAGTGATGAGGTTCTGGTTGGACCTCACAGCTACACCATTACACACACAAAGAGAGCGCAAAACATCCAAGACCTAAAGGCAGGACAGAGACAGACATTGCTATTTATTTTAAATGTGGCAGAACATTCCAGTTACCACTTGCAAACGTATGTGATATGGTAGGAAAATGCATCTGCTGTAGCAAAGTTGCTGCTGGGTAATGTTACTTTCAGCCCCTGTTCCTGACAGTGAGAAAAGACAAACCTTGTGGTTCCTTCCATGCTTGTCCAGGAGAGAGATGATGGACTTAATGTGGTTCTCCTGGATGATGTTCAGAACCTCAGGGCTTTCAATTAGCACACAGTACAACACCTCGAGAATACCTATGTGTATAGAAAGGAGGAATATGACTACCTCTTAGCATTTTCTTAAACAGTAATGCATGAATGGAAGAAGATGTACCAATAACGCATTAATAAAAACATAGTCCAAAAAATGTAATTAAAGAATCCAAATCTATAAATAAATCTATAAAAAATAGATAAAAACTAACTACATAAAACACTGCTAAAAAATATGAATGCAAAAAGGTTCATCCATTAGCTATTTTTCACATCATTGTTGGTCTTTGTGCCTGATGATGTCATAAGTTTGAAAATTTAAGCTGTATCTAATTCCTACATTAGATCCAGCCAATCCTTAAAAACAGTTAGTCAGCTCTAAAGAGCAGACCTAGTTTGTGGGCAGTGGCTGTATCGGGGACTGAGTGAGGCACATCTGATACCTGAGGAGGCCTCCAGACGGTCCAGCTTGCTGACCAGCCAGTCCAGGTTGTCACAGAACAATGCACAATTAGACCGGTTCCCCCTAATTAGAGAGGCTGTTCAGTGGAGACATAGAGAAAAATAATGTTACTTTAATTTGTACATATAGTGTTTAATTCGAGTGTTGTGTTTTACAAGTTCACAGTGATTCTACTACCCAGCAGCTCATAAAGGAGGTTGACAATCTCCTTCCAGGACTCTGCAGCTTCCTCTCCAGCAAATTCAGAAAAATGAGCAGCAGTATTGTACACGTTCAGGCGGTCGATGCACTCCAGCACGATGGTGATCATTCCCTAAGAACGAAAACAGAAACTCAGGGTCCAGAGAGTTTACATCATTATTCTGTTTTTTGTTGTGTTTTTGTTGCTGTTAGTGTTGGTGGCAGTATTGTATATTTAGGATAAAGTTAGTATTAGGTTCATGTTAAGGCGGAGTTAAGAGTTAAAGTTAGGCATGTATTTGTGACGGTTCAATGTCCTCACAAGTGATAAAAATGAATAAATGTGTATGTTTTTTACAGTAATACAAAAAGTTACAAAACTGCGTACGGGCTTAAAAAGTTCTCTGGGGTGTCAAAGGTACAAGATCCACTTTGTATAAGTTATTGGAACAAACAGTAAAAATCAATAGATATGGAAAGTCTGGTCTGAATGTGTATGTGGCAGTGACGTGTGGTCAGGGGAGGCAGGTGAGGCAGAGCCTCCCCTGTCAATCTTGAAAAGAAAAAAAAAAGTTAACCATAAAATATAATAAATGTTAATATTTGTGGGCTGGTGTGTGTTGTAGGCAAACAGTACGCCTGCCTCAAGGCAGAGGGCGCTAGTGAGCCCACAGATTCTTGCGCTACCTACAATCTTCTTCGTGCTTGTTTATATTTCCTTTACAATCCGCCTTATCAAAATGGAAGATTACATTTCCAAGCTGAGAAAATTCACAAATCTGGACTTTCAATCAAAACATTTTTGACAGTCTGGACATTTTTGTCCAGAAGGATCTTCTTTATTGAAAACATTTGTTTTAATATTGGATTCGAACGGTAAAAGGGTTTGTAATACATACCAGCTGACAAATGGATTTCGTGTACAAGTAAAGGTAAGACCATAAACTTTTATTATTTCTAGTTAGAAATAAGCTCAACTGGAATAAATTTTAACCTCAAATTAAATATGGGTCACGTTTGTGTGAAGAATGCTGATATGAGATATAAAACAACGCAATGTCTGTTAACAGACAATTTGTATTTGTAAATCTGACTGTAAAAGAGTTAGTGCCTCACCAGCTGTCAACCTCACCGCACGTCACTGGTATGTGGCTGTTCAGGCAGCGTGTATATTACAGTACCTCTTCTTGGAACAGGTTCTGCCGGTTGCGGAGGGAGCGCAGTTTGGTCTGTTTCTCCTCGTGCTCCAGTTCCTCCTCAGGTGGACGAAAGTAAAAGATGAGGTCCTGAAGAGAGAGAATGACCCCCTCCAAAGGAAGCGACACAGCGACTGGTGACTTGCTCTTTCCACTCAGAGAGTCCAGTCCCCTGGAAGAACACAAACAAATCACCAACAAATCTGAAATTTTGAACACATTACAATGCTGTGAATACTATAAACAAAAGAAATCATGCTGAAATGACAGAATAATAATTATGGACATCCCTGCATCCCCCGCAGAGGAAATTTCAAATTATTCCCCTCACATTTAAACATGTACATATTTACTTGATGAACTGCCGGAAGAGGCCCGTAGTGCTGTAAATCATTCGAGCAGCTTGAGACTCTTCACTTTGGGAGCGGGACACAGTTAGGGCATCATCCATATGACCCTCCTGGTGCAGAATGACCTGGAAACACAGACAACATGATTTTATTACACCACCAGTTCTCTCCTTCTCCTGAGAGGCCGGTTTCTGGTGGCTGTCTTATGTAACAGCTATACAGCCACATCTACTTTGTACTTAAGATAATAAAAAATATTTAACAATCTTTAAGAGTCAAGAAGTGACTACTGCAGTACCACTGTAGACCTAATCCAGACTAACTTAGTTTTTGCTGCTATATTGAAAGATCTTATTTGATCCCTTTTTTCTTGATACCTTTCTCTTCATCATTCCCAAACGAGCAGATTTGGCATCCAGAGCAGCATATGTGAGCCACAGACCTGTGGACACATGTTGAACAAAGCACATAGACTCTCCATATTTAATCTCTGGAATGCCCATCCCCTCAACATCACGCTTGTGAGCCACCTCCACCTTCTCCTGCTCAGGGGAACCAGGGGAAAGAAGGGGTGGGAAAAAAAAAATCACAGTCAGAGAGAACTTATAGCATAATGATGACAGACAGGATCCAAAGGCAGCAGAAACTTAAAATATTAACTCTAACCTTTGAAGCACGGAAGCAGAAAGCGGACAGTTTGGTGTTGGCCTTCTCTGGGTCGACCACCAACAAACCCTTTTCCTCATCCAGACACAGGTACCGGCCTGTGGTAATGTGGCGAATACGAAAAGACTGCCCCCACTTCATGTGGCTACCGCTCCAGCTACAGACAGTAAGTGGGGAAAGAGCATATTATTAAGAGGCCAACAAAATCTTTTAATTACTATTATTTTATGATAATCATTCTCCAGATTGTGGTTAAAACATTTAGGAAAATCAATGGGTAACAAAATAGACACAACACGCATGAAGACACTAAAAAAACCAAAACAATACTGGCTATAAATCATTACAATGCCAACAATGCTTATGTTTATGCTGAGATTACTAGTTTTCAATAATTATATACATAAAGAAAATATTGTACACTTGTTTTAACACATAAAATGAAACTACATTGTCACTGAGGGGACAATCACCTGATTCTGAGAGGCTCCAGCCGCCACAAGGATCGAGCCTGACTGCACACAGCACCACCTTCATAGTGAGCCATCCTGTAGCAGAGTCAGGGCAGACACACACACACACACAGTCATATGGTATCAGATTCACAGGATACAGTATGTTTCTGTTCAGGACCGCTCTGCTTACACTTCCTCTCACCTGCGCTTTTCCTCTCCTTCCTCTGGTGTAGCGATGGTCAGACACTCATCCATGTGGCCGTGGAACAGCCGGAGAACGTGACCTCCTGTCAGATACCCTGAGAGGAGGAACACACACCAGGAGTTTATATATTGTGTAGACATGTATAGTATGTATATTTCTGTATAAGTACATTTCTCCTTATGTACAGTATATGTTAAGTGTACACTATCTGATGTGTGATAGCATGACCCTCCACCAATCCTCAAAATGTCTCTATGCTTACAGGTGCACTATCTGATGTGTGATAGCATGACCCCCCCACCAATCCTCAAAATTTCTCTATGCTTACAGGTAATGTTTTGAAATACAAATATAATGTGTGTATATCTGTTTCAAATGTCTCCAGAACTGCACAGCATTGGTGGCTGCAGAGCAAAATGTGTAAAGCAGGTTAGTACCCTCAGCAAGTTCGCATCCAGAACTAACTGGGTTCATGTTCCACAAAGTTTGCATGAAGGAGGCGTCCACCATCAGATCTCCACTAGCGTAGGACAGGTGCTGGTGACAGAGGACAAGAAAAAAAGCAAAAAGGATTTAATTCAGCAGATCTTATGCATGACTGAATGCTCCATTGTGTAACAACAAAGAGCACAGCATATGAGGAGTCTTACCAGGTATCTCTCAGAGGACACACTGACAAGAATGAGGTCATCACCCACCCTGACCTTTTCACCTTCTGACCTTTGCTTAGAGGCTGGATGAATGGTCCACCAACATGCCTCACCTGCAGTGAGAACAAGATCAAACAACTACATATTATTTACTTGAGCAATTATTAAAGTAATTTATTTCCATTCATGTCAATAGCTTTGTAAAAATTCCAAATCTATATTAAATTCACAAAAACTACTTAATATTACTACAGGAGGATCATGAATTTCAGTAATCAGTTAAATAGAAGCTTAGAAAATAGCATTCTGTTGTAGCTTGAAAAAGGATTTTCAAGTTTGGTTTTACCAGAGGAGTCTTCTTGTAGGCCTACATCAAAGGCCAGCTTGTCTGTTAGTGACCGAGATGTAGTCAGACAGCTCAGGTACTGGGGAGAGAGTTTTTATTCAGGACATGACCAGAATTTTGCCACAATGCAGGTAAAGGTTTGGCTTTAAACTACAATTAAAAAACACCGGCCTTAGACATATATCTTACCATGCCTGAGTGGTGGTGTCTCAGGAGGATGGCATGACCATAAAGTAAGGTACGATGACCTCCACCTTGGGACGACTGGAGGGAAGGACGACAGGGAAATAATTAACAGACCACCCTGACATCACTGACCACAGTCTTTAAATATACCTTGACCAGACAGACAGGAACACAAAGATATATTCTTAAGATCCAGAGGTCAGAAGAGTCAGGATTGTGGGTAGAAGACTGGAAGACAACAAAAATTCGCCAAACTTTGCTGATACTTCTTGGCTTATTTAAAAAAATCCTGAAAAGAATTTTCAATACTTTAATGACTCATACATTATGTGGACAAAACAGAGATTTATTTCCCCAAACAGATATGATATATAACATTTTGAGTTTACTCATACAAATAGAAGAACCAAACAAAAAAGAGCCATATCATTAAAAAAGCAATATAAAGACATCTCTGGCACTACGACAATACTGTGCTATAAATCATAATTTGACACAATGCAAAACAATTGTAAAACTTTTTACAAACTCACACAAAGCTAAACACAACAATAAGCCACCCTACCTTTTCTCAACATCCAGCAATGATGCAACAAGAAAACACAATTACTGTGAGAGTTGTAGATGGATTAGCCAAAACAACCATTTAGTCCAGCCAACAATGCTAAGCCTGTATTTAGGGCTAAGCATCCAAAATTCACTGGGATAAGTCAGGGGCAGGAATGTCAAGTGGTCCACTTTAGCACTAGGTTTGGTTAGGACAGGTGGTGGTGGTGGTGGTGGTGGAGTGTGTGTGCATGTGCCTTTGTATCACTTACATTTTGGGGACTGAAACCTGTTACAGTCACATTGTGGAGACTCGGCCACATCAGACATCCAATTCAGGAAATCACAGCATTTTAGGGTGGCAAAATGTTTTAAGGCTTTAGGTGTTAGGTATTAGGGTTAGGCAAGTGGCGGTTATGGTTAAGGTTACTAGGATAGAAAACACAGTGTGTGTTTCTGTTAAAAGGAGCTAGGTCTGTCCAGAGCTCTGGAGGTGTCCAGTTTCCCCATCCATCTCTGACAGAGGGGGGGGACCCTCCGCTGGGCTGCATGCCATGCTATTCTGATGCTCCTCCTCAGCATTAGAAGGCCTGGCTTGCCCACAACTCATGTGTGGCCAGGAACTGCCCAAACCAGCCAGCTAATATAGTTCTGCAAATTGAGACTTAAAGCTTAAATTCTGGTAACTTCAGCCAGATAATGGTTCATTCATCTGTCTTTTTAAAAAGCTAAAAGACTTATGAGTCTGTGTTGTGGCTAAGTTCTTTGCTATTAGGATATTGTCTACTCTTGCACCCACATTGCCTGAATGTGTTTTACGTACTTCTTCAATTTGTGATTTCCAACATATCTCAGAGTACAATTGTTGAATGTTGATGCAAGATTCTAAGTATACAAAATTTTGCTTGTGGCAAATATATGACACAATGCTACAAATCACCTATTTTTGGTTAGTTATCCACTGGAAAAGAAAGATATTTTTAACCATATTAAACCTTCATATACAATGTGTATTTACATGCTATTAAACAACCCCAAATCAGAAAAAGTTGGGATGTATGTAAAATCAAAATTAAAACTGAAAATAGTGCTTTGAAAATCATATAGTTACATCCATAAATACCACTTACAACTGTACTGTGCCAAAAGGAAGCCCTATGTCAACAGTGTTGAGAAGTCCAATCGACTGCTCCTGGCTCAGAGGCATCTGGGACGGACCGTCACACAACGTGTACTGTGGTCAGACAAATCAGGATTTCAGGAAGGAACTTTTCTGGAAGGAATGGGTGCCGTGATCCAGACCAAAGACAAACAGGACCATCCAGACTATTACCAGAAACAGCCAAAAGTCCAAAATCCAGGGTCTGTCATGGTCTGGGGTTGTGTCACTGCCCTTGGTAAAGGTAACTTACACTTCTGCGATGGCCTCATTAATGCTGAAAAATACATAGAGAGCTTTCAGCAACATGTGCTGCCTTCAAGACGACATCTTTTCCAGGGAGGCCCATGCATATTTCAACAAGGCAATGCAAAACCTCATACTCCACCCTACCAAGGCCTGGCTGTGGAGGAAAAGGGTGCGAGTGCTGGACTGGCCTGTCTGCATCACTATTTTCAGTTTTAATTTTGATTTTACATACCATCCCAACAGACTGTGTGTGTGAGTGGTTGTTCGTCTATGTGTTGGCCCTGCGATGGACAGGTGACCTGTCCTGGGTGTACCCCACCCCTCACCCGCAGCTGGCTGGGATTGGCTCCAGCCCCCCGTGACCCCGTTTGGGACTAAGCAGTATAGAAAATGGATGGATGGATGGATACCATCCCAACATTTTCTGATTTGGGGTTGTAATAAACAAAGGTTAGATGAGGCTTGTCTGAGTATAATCAGTTTTTGCAGCAGCAGAAAACACATTTTGTATGAAACAGGAAAAAAACAAAATTGGCTTAACATCATCAAAGACTACCACAAAATGTACTGAAACAAAGGAAACAAGGAAAAGGCAAGGCGGCTTAATGTTGATGACAAGGTAATAAGGATAAATGTGCTAGAGACATTTCTGCATGAAATGCAAATGAATGACGCATTGTGACACCTTGCTAGGTTTGATATGGTAGAGCAGCTAATTTATTCAGAACAGTTACAAGTGCAGTTAGAATTATAAAATTAGAATTAAAAGAAATAATCAGAAAAAAGTATATACATAAAATACTGCTCATTACACAATCTTTTGAACTGCAGATTCAAGCAATTACAATGAAAACTGGATCTGATTACCTGGACCCCTCAGTTACTGCTGCTAAAAATTAAATACATGTGTACAGAGCTATCACCACCTCGAGGTGAGAGCTAAATGGATGTGAACTGAGACGTGAACATCCAGTGGGCAACAGGACAGGAACAAGGACAGTTGCCAGGTTGGCTAGGACACACATTACAGGAAATAAGACACGCTAAGAGACATACCCATTTGTCCAAATCGACTGCCTGCTCGGCAGAAAAGCAAGATGGGAAGGGAAGGGGAGCTAGGTCAGATAGCAAGTTGAAAAAACATAACAAAATAAAAACAAAGAATAAGTTCATCTATGGTGCTCACATAAGATGAAAGTGCATAAGGAATATTATGCTGTATAGTGAATCTTAAAGCCTTTACATTAATGTTTAAAAGCAGAACCTGCATTCCACATGTAAACAAAAAAAGATGCCCAAAAAAAGCCTGAACTACAACCTGAAAATCTTTTCACTACGCTATGTCTCTACCATTTGCAGTCATAAGCCATACTCCTCAAAAGCGCCTAGATGATGTGATCTCTCACTCTCTCATAACTCTGCAAAGGATGTGGTTAACTACATATCCTCTGTCAATAGATTCTCCTATTACTCATTTCTTTTTGTCTGATTTTGACTCCTACCTCAGTCATCTCCACCGTGTTGGCCAGCATCTCCTGCAGAGCACGGACCGACAGGGACTGCTCCAGGATGAAGGTACATATGGCCAGGTCTGGGGGTACCTTCTGCAAACATTTAAGGACAGCGCAGTGGTAAAACAGAGTTGATAAAAACAAGGGTACATACCGTACAGGCCAAACAAAAGGAAGGAAGGGGCCCAGCATCTTACCTGGGCATTGGATGTCGTTTCCAGGAAGCAGAGACGATTCCCAAAACCCTCACAGGACAGACATAGCTTAATCTGCTGCTCTTTCAGGATGGAGGCAGTGCACTGCAGAACAACTTGGTCATCCTGCATCCAGTACAAAAACAATCAGATATAAACACATCTATTCACTGACTTTTCACTTTCTGGTACATTATTTAGTCTCAGAATCACACACTTCCTAGATCTGACTGTTCCTGCTCGTTGATTTTGTTTGACACTTCCTAGATCTGACTGTTCCTGCTGGTTGATTTTGTTGTGGTGGCTTTTTAATATTTTAGCACACAAATATGGTTTAAAAGCACCAAATAAAACTGGCTCAACTTGCCATTTGGCACAAGCGTTGTTATATACAATACAGAACCTTTATTGACTAAAGAGACATGCTTTGCAAGGAGAGCAAAAGAGAAGCAATTACCAACAGCACATTGTTCTACAGTATTACAAGCATTGTGTTGATGTGCAAAATGCCAGTTGTTTTGTATGTTTTATGCATCATTTATTGTGTGCTGTATGAGCACTGGCAAACTTTTTAAACTTTTTTATAAAAACTTTAGAAGATTTCACAACTAAAGCAGAAGCCTCCTAACTGTTGTAAATGAATGAGAACCAATGGCTGCCTGTAGAGCCGAAAAACATATTTTAAAAAATCCCAAACTATGATTTATCAAAGGGCCATTGGTAATAAATACACAATTTATGGTTAAAATATCATCCAGCCACTGCAGTGACAAATACATGTAACTGTATTTCACAAGCAGAATGTGAACAGACAGTAATCTGCTGCTCCTTGTCAATGCCTGGACGTTCCAGAGACTGGTGTAAATACGGCAGTAAACACCCCCTCCCCTCTGAAACCCACACCTGACACTCAACATTCTCAGCTGTTCCTTTTACTCACTCATTATGACAAATAATCCTCTCTACAGTTCTGGACAGATTTCCGACTTTTCTCCCCTCTCACTAACGTCCAATGAATCGCCCTGTCTTCTCATTCCTGGCCAGCAGGATTTAGTGTTTAGGATAACAGACAGGTACTCTGAAGTGGGGAGTTTGTGTGTCTTTGTTTATGGAAAATGGAAAGCAATGCAGAACAGTGACCTCATAATATCATTCTTTGGCTGAAGAGTGTCCCCTCTTCCTTTGGCTGGACTATCATCTATCGCTCCTCAGCCTAGAAATGTCTCCTCTGTCTCGTCCTTCTGTTCCTTGCTTTGTACTTGAGAAAGTGGAGCAATGTGCCCTCTCTCCTTCAGTACATGCACAACACCACTCAATAACAATTCATGCATTACTAATGTTGTACATGTACCACACAAACAAGTTGTTTTTGCAAAATTCTTAATTTTCAGGGGTATTACAAAAGATAAGTCACACTTGGGATTACAGCATCTTCCCCACCTCCCATGTACATCAATCACTTCTACCCACACCCCTTGGAAGCTGGGATTCAGAGCAGCTAGCTATATATGGTACAATGACAATGATCTTTGTTTATCAGGACTGTTCTGACACCAGGCATCACCAAACAGAAGTTTTAACATCACAGAAAAAGTTCATCTGAACTGGACTGAGCAAGAAATGGGCTAAACTAGCCATGTTTTGAGGAGAGTACATACAGACTCAGACCACAGTCCCCATTAAGGAGACAGGGCTGAGCTCATGTGTGTCTAAAAGCGGACTTAAGTAAGTGCGTGACTCATTGCACCGAGACGAGATGTGTGGTCAAATGACAACCTTATACAATATATGCTGTCACACAGCGGCCCTGCCCATTGGCTTCCATCTATATCCACAGTTTTACACAGCTAACCTGGTCTACTTCAGTCACACTGTAGAAAATCAAAAAGACAGAGAACCCACAGGATGGCTGTGAGAGCTCAGGTATTCAGTCAAAAACAGGCAGAGACTTGGCCTTAAAGTTGCAGAGAATATTTTATCTCACTGTGTTTAGCAATATTTCAAAGCATATAAAATGTAAGATATATCTTAACAGTTCTATGTAAATTATTATTACAGAAATACATACAGTATAATCTGGATTAGGACACTCAGGCACCAGCCACTACAAAGCTATGTTCCTCCAAGAGTCACACCGTGTGAATCACTTCCAAACTGACCTTGTGAAAAGATGATTTAGTGACCCCACAAACCATTAGGCTTAACTCAGCCTTTTATTAATAGCTGCAGCTTTTATGATTTGAGTGCCTGACTTTATTGTAAGGCAAAAACAATTCCTGATTATCTGTTAATCTCATATGACTGTGAGCCACAATATGCAGGTTGTCACAGACCTGATCCAGTGAACTTACACCTGGGCCACAGACATGAAACACATTTAATGTGCCATCGGTGTGGTGTGTGTGTAGGCTTACAGCCAAACCATCTTTGGACTTAGTGGATGAAGCATTCAGGCTTTACAGATGCTCTGGGTCAGAGGGAGAGATAGAAACAACTGGATGTAAACCTACAGTTACACAAACAAACACACTAGTATGATGCAGCAGAGATTTACAAACTGAGACAGAGGCAGCAGCTGAAAGCAGACACCTTTGCATATTCTCTAGGGCCGTGCGAGGATGCAGAGAGAGGATAGGCAGGGTTCCCCAGATAAGAAGGCACAGTGTCTAGCAGACAAAGGAAGCAAACAGAGAGATACTTGCTTCTACTGATCCTCGAATGCTTTGTTAAAGTAAAGGGGTAGGACAACAAGTTTAATTCTACAACTATGAGAGCAGCTGATAGAATTCTCACTGTGGGCAGAAAATGTGTTTGTGTTCATTTTGGTGGGCAAAGAGTGACACTTCAGTTACTTCATCTGCTACCCTGCTGTGTGGGACATTTTTACATTTGATGAACTGATGCTGTGATGGAAATGGAAACTCCAGCATCCGGCTAAGTGCTGATAAAACGTTAATGACAGTTGGGCATTTGTCTTCTCTAACAGCAGGTAACCAGATGGTTCAGCGCTTGTTGACTGTTCAAAAAATAAAAAATATCATGCAAAACTGATGCTGTAGCTGGTTGACTTATCATTTATTCAACATCACATTAGATTTTTCACAACAGAATCAACAACCATTCATGTTTTGTTTGTATTTATTTAGTTTAAGTTAACTGGGTAGTTTTAATGCAGTTTGAGCTGTTTAACTATGATTTGTTTAAAATCTTTATTCCACTTCATGCCTGTTTAATGATTCTTTTTCAGGAGTACTTTTTCAGCCGTTCATGCCACAATCTCAAACTCTGAACTGACAGTCTGTACCACCGAAAACCTGCCCAGTAATAAATGAACAGCCATTCTTTCTCTATGGCTCACAGTGTGCTGATGCAGGCCACCCCAGGACATTGATTTTACTTCTGCAGACATAAAAAGGGTGAGGGACAGCACATTGCACAGTATGTGGGTGGAGGTGAGGAGTGGTTCAATAAGGCGTAGGAGTGAGTGGTGATGGGGTTTCCCTTTGAAAACTAGAAGAGACCAAAGAGGTGCACTATCACTATCACTGTCTGAAGGGCCCATGTGGTACCCTCACTCCTCTAAATCATACACTCTCCCTTCTGTTTCCTACTGTACTTACTAATATATCTGAAAGAATAAAATCTACCAAACAACCACCCTCTTTTCTCCATTTTGTGCCTTTCTTCAAAACATTGCTATGTATCATCATTCTCAAAGAAGAGCTAATTTTACAAACATTGCTGTTTTTTCAGAATCATTGCAATCATTGCTTGTAACACATTTTAAGATAAGACCCTTTTCACTGGCCTGAAAAAGTGTCCACCCCATCACCTGGTGAGGTAGTTTTGGGGCTATAGGTCTGTACTACATGAGAATATAAAGAGGCACCAAGTGTCCCTGTAGCTGCAGTGTTGGGAAAGCTACCAATGACTTCACACTGGAAGAAGTTGAACTACAGCAAAGCTGGGGGGTTTGGTTATCTTAAGTTCCATCCATCCATTTTCCTCCGCTTATCCGGGACCGGGTCACGGGGGCAGCAGTCTAAGCAAAGATGCCCAGACTTCCCTCTCTCCAGACACTTCCTCCAGCTCCTCCGGGGGAATGCCGAGGCGTTCCCAGGCCAGCCGAGAGACATAGTCCCTCCAGCGTGTCCTGGGTCTTCCCCGGGGCCTCCTCAAGGTGGGACATGCCCGGAACACCTTCCTAGGAAGGCGCCCAGGAGGCATCCAAAACAGATGCCTGAGCCACCTCAGCTGGCTCCTCTTGATGTGGAGGAGCAGCGGTTCTACTCTGAGCTCCTCCCGGGGGACCGAGCTCCTCACCCTATCTCTAAGGGTGCGCCTGGCTAACTTAAGTTACTTAGAAAAAATAGTTCAAACTACTCTGTAAAAAAATCATCAAATTAAAAATGTGCATAGACAGACAATTATACAAGATATAAAACAAAAAAGTCATATGCCTGCAAAAATGCCACTCACTTGAGTTTATTATTATTGAGTTTATTATTGAGTTATTGAGACCTAAACTTGTCCTAAACAAAACAATCCCATCTGGGCTTTTCACAAGGGCAAAACTGCAAAGAATGCTATATTTTTGTTGTAAATTCTGGATTTTGTATTATCAGACTACAACTGAAACAGTAACGAAAGAATATTTAACTTTTCCTCTTGTTAGCAAGCAAGCAAGCAAAGTTTCAGTAAAATAAAGTGCCAACAGCAGCTGCTCATGTACATACTGTTAATAAGCTCTCCTCCCTTGTGCACATGTAATTTGGTCTGAACCTCTCAGCCCCAATTTCAGCAGCCCCATTTCCCCCAGTCATTTGTGCTAAACTCTTTAAGTGCTTAAAATACAAATTAAGACACTTAATGAAATCCAGGTTTAATTTAATCTTTTTTTGAAGTATGAAGTTGTTAGACCGTTCCACTGACGTGAGCACTAGTCTGAAAAATGGGCCTGTTGTCTTACTTGTCAGTGTTGTAACACTGAGTTTGTACAGTCTTAACATCTCAAACAATGTCTGTCACTCTTTCAGCCCTGGATTAGCTTTTTCGTCTGTGCTGTAGACCTCCACTGATATTCAAATCAGAGAAGCACACCACTGCACATAGTGACATATTTCCTC